GCTTGATACAATCCAGAAGAAAAGGCTAATAATCGATTTAATAGCCCTTAGACAATTATTCAAATAATATAAGATTATAAAGATCAAATGAATTAATAGAGAATCTAATCCTATTAATATAATAACGAAATCTAAGACAGAAAAAGTATTCAAAAAATCTAATCGATAATAATACTATTAAGATCAAGATTATAGAATAGATTGATAGAAATTAAAGAGAAAAGAATTAATAGGATATAGAAAGGATTACTAAAAACGAATTCGTTTGATTTTTAGATAATTGCCAATATCTGAATATTATTCACTTAACTATAATAAACAGTAGAGTTAAAGGTTAGAATAACAAACAATATTTTAATTATCACAAAGTATATATTATTTAGTATTAATATTTCCATAGTTTAGTTCCTTAAGGCAATACAAATATATGAAACACGATAGTATTATTAACACTTCATTATCACCACGATAATACCAATATGTATATTTATATATTTATGTATTTAGATTCTAAAAGAATTTTAGATTAGAAATATAATTAAATATAGAATCTCCTCTCAGCGGTCTAGAACTTAGTATTTCGATATTAATTATAAGAATTAGATTATATAATCGTATCTGAGAAGTATTATTTAAACCAATAAATATATATAGAATACTATCGAAAATGCTCATCGTCTCTTATTCCTCAGACTTTAGATCTACAGTAAGCAGATTATCAGATTGATATGATTTTGCCGCAACCAAATCGACTTCCCTTCCTACCAACTCAAACATAGATCTGTCTCTTTACATTATGGATTCAAATGCAAAAGGCTTGTCCCATTAGATTATGTTGCTAGTATTCCCACGCTACACATTCCAAGATATCCACCTCTAGTAATTAACACCCTAACGCGCCGTCCCATTCAATTTCATTGACTCCAAGTATGCCGGTATTGGGTTTATGTGCCTACTCCAAACCGCTTGTCTCCGGTGATGCGTTTGTAGTGGTGGTGGCTGGGATAGAGCTGGTACTCTTATTGGCGGCTGCCATTTGCCAAGCTGGAATCTTTGCACCTCCTGGTGTCGCCCCTGAATTGAAGGGACTGGCACTTCGTCCCTGAAGAGACGCTACGGCTTCGGTACCTGAGATAGTACTGACTGATGCTGGTCTAGGCGTAACGCTTTCGGTGGGCGATTCTCCAGTGAGAGTAGAGCTGCTGGGATTGGTAATCGAGCTGATGGGAGTGGTAATTGAGCTGATGGGAGTGGTAATCGAGCTGATGGGAGTGGCAATCGAGCTGATGGGAGTGGCATTTGAGGGTAAAGTTGCATTCTGAACTCTGCTGTATGGGTTCATGGTCGAAGATGGATTCATTCTTTGACCCATTAACGTTTTCAAGCTCTTCAGTTCAACGGCCAACTCCTTCAATCTATTGTCTGTTGCCTCTTTCTGCCCTTCCATAGCTCTTGGTATTAAATCCTTGAGGCCTCTAACTTCGTCGCCCATGCGTCGAGACTCTTCATCCCTTCTTCGACTCGCAGATTTCAGCTCGTTAATGACAGTTTCTACTTCCGTTAAGGCTACATCCAATTTTTCTGTTCGTTGTTGCTCGGATGTCTTGAGGGTTTCGGTATCTTTGGCTAATTGATCGAGAAGAGAAAATGCCTTTTCAAAAGAATCGTCAATTTCCTTCTTATCTTGCTCGAGTTGCGGAGGTGTGGGAGGGGCAATGATTGGATAGATATAACGCTAGATTTGTTAGTGAAGTTGATACCTCGAGGCGACTGGCCCCTTACCTTAGCTAGGAAATATGCCCCGTATCCTATGCCGCCAGTCACTGTAGCCATAATAAACCAGTCTCTCCAATCTCGCTTTGGTAATTCGGGCGGCGGAGGCTGTTGCCATGGATATTGTTGATATCCTGCATACCCAGGTTGAGGTTGTCTGGCAACTTGTTGTTGTGGTGCATAATTCGAATAGTTTTGAGGTGTTGGCGATTGTTCGCCGCTGGCTCTCCCTAATGCCGCATCTACTTCCTCCTGTGTAAGGTGTTTCGACTGTAAAAAAGAGATTCGATTCTCTAGAGGTGATGCAGAGACACTTGGATCCTGAAGAACTATTGAAATATTAGAAATGTTGAAGCTATCTTCACTTGAATATTCTCACATGTAACCTAGCTACGTATTAGTACTGTGTATTGCGCAGGAGTTGTTTTGACTTACAGCAGATGCCACGATATCCTCACGAATGGCCATAATGAATATGGATGAAAAGAGAAGGACAACTTATTATTTCACCGTTAGACAAATACAAAGTTGTGAATTCTGGAGAACTTGAATATATCTCACAACACCAAAATGCGAATGGCCGGAACCGAGGCATTGCGAGGTTGTTTGGATGACTAATTTACACGTGACTGATTATCTTATCTAGCCTGGTGCGCTAAGCTACATTGGCTTGTTTACTTTTTCCCCAAGCGTTGGCCCTTCGATCCCTTCGATAACACCCAATTCGTAAGTTTTGTTGTCGCAAATCTACACTTACACTCTGTTTGTGTAAACAAGAAATTCGCATAAACATCATTTTTGGGCATTCAATATACAGTATCTTTCACCTAGAAGGAAACTCGTCACATTCATCCTACAAAAGAAAAACCTTGTCCTGGAGGATAATTACTGAAAATGTCGCAAGACACAGATCTTTTCTCCGTGCGCCGACCTAAAGAGGTAAGGATCATTATACTACCCCCCCTCGAATGTTCAATGTTCAATTTAGAAGTTGCTCACTCAGTATAGACGCTTGGAAGCATCAACTACAATTCAAGTCTACCACAACCAGCATCCGCTATGAAGCGATCGAATTCAATCGGTGGATATAACAATGCACCCTTTACTACCAGTCATGGTCGCTCTGGAGCCAGACAATCTCTCGCACCTTCACGACCAAATCAACCTTTATTCTCGCGATCATCATCGGGCACCAATCTAGCAGATATAGGAACTTCATCGGTCAAAAGGACTTCATTTCAAAACAGCAGTAGCCGGAAAAGTTATGCACCTCCTCAAATGGGCCGCGCATCTGCGGAAGGAGCAGAACGTCGAAGCAGTGTCTATCGATCCCGGAATTCAACAGGTGGACCCATGGGACATCAAAGTTTCTTCCAGACCGGACCTCAACCAGCTGGAGTGCCAAAAGACCCACGCCCATTGAGAGACCGAGCTTATCAGGGGAAGATTGGACAAGAATTGCTGGAGTATATGGCCAATAACAATTACGACATAGAGATGAATCATAGCGTATCGGCCAATACTTTGAAATCACCAACTCAAAAGGAATTTGTGTTCATGTTCCAATGGCTTTACCACAGAATTGACCCAAGTTATCGATTTCAAAAAGCTATCGATCAGGAGGTACCTCCAATTATGGCTCAGCTACGATATCCATACCAGAAAAGCATAACTAAGTCCGCATTATCCGCCGTTGGAGGTGCAAATTCGTGGCCATTCTTCCTCGGATTATTGCATTGGATGATGCAACTCGCTCAGATGTTAGATGGATATGGGACCGACCGATATGATGAGGCATGCGCAGAAGCTGGTGTTGATGTTAGTGGAGATCGCATTATCTTCAACTTTCTCAGCAATGCATACCGAGATTGGCTCTCCATGGACGAAGATGTCGGGGATGATGATCAGGACCAGGTTCTTGCACCACATATTCAGGCTATGGCACAGGAATTTAACAGAGGGAATTCAAAATATCTCAACGAAATGCGCGTCCTTGAAGGGGAACACGAACGATTGCAAAAGGAGATTAAGACGTTTGAACAGACTGGCTCGGGTATTGCTAGGTTGGATAAAGACTTCAAGGATCTCGAAGATGACATAGTAAAACTCGAAGAGTTCAACAAACTTATGCATCAAAAATCGGAGAAATATGAGTCTCGTATACAGTACTTGCAAGAGGAGCTTGAAAGGGTCTTGCAAGAATTAAAAGAAGCATCTGATGAGCGATCAAAACTCCAAGAGGAAATCGATAGTAGAGGCATGAGTATGCAAGATATCGATCGTTTGAATTCTGAAATGGAACGACTTGAAAAGGGACACGAAGCTTCGCAACAAAGATTGGAGGAAGCGAGGAGAATGGTGGCCGAAAAGGAGTTAGAAGCGAGTCGCAGACTGGAAGAGCTGGAGCGTACAGTGGAAAAGTACAATAGTCTGGGATACAAGGCTAAGCTTATTCCATCCACCGCCAAAAACGCCAAAGGAAAGGACTACGAGCTCCAAATTGTTGTCAATGAAGGACCTAACTACTCGGCATCGCAAATGGCAAGCTCTTATGCGGGTGCGAGAGACGGCGATAGACTACTTGCCGATCCCACGACTGGTTATCAACCAGCTGATGTATTGAATCTGGATCTTCGCAGTCATGTAAAGAACAGCTTCATCGGTCTTCGAAAAGAAACATCCGAACGAAGGACCATTGCAATTGAGCAAATAGAGAAATATAATGATTTACTCCACAAAAGCAAAGAAGCCATTGACGAAAAGAAGGGCGAGGTTGGGGCTTTGGAGCACCGCGTCAGAGCTGCAGAAGAGGAGCATGAAAAGACCAAAGAGGTAAGGGAATCAAACACAACTGAAAATTTACCCGTAATTAATATGCCATTAGGTCACCATAACTCAAAAGTTGGCTTCTGATGCACAAATCGAGAAGATGGAGAAAGAGCTAGCTAAAATGCGAGCTGGTCTCACAGAGTCTGTTCAACTAATGGAGCAACGAGAGATGAATATGAATATCGAGTCAGTAACTCAGAGAAACCTTCATACAGCATAACACTAACACGACCTAGATATGAGCAATTAACACTCCGAGCAAACACTCTTCGCGAGGAGTTGCATACAGAGATTGAGAAGATGTTGAACGACATCATCAAATTCAAAGTCCATGTTCAGAAGAATCTTGAAGATTACGAGGGATTCGTTGTAGATGAGGTTGAGCATGAGTTAGGAGGTGATGATGAAGTCAGGGATGATACCCAAGACTTTGAAATGAGTGGATGAATTGTTTTAGCCCTAATTATTGGACACATTGTTGGAGTTAACACGCCAGGGGGAGGCTCTTATGTATTTGGGGGTGTACTCGGGTGGATATGGTGAGGGGTTTGACAGAAGGAGTTATTCACGCTTTGGATGGGTGTGGTGTTACAGGTTGACTGGACTGTCTCTTTGGTGTCTTTTGTTAATAGGGTAAATTGGTACAATTATGAGAAACGTTATTACTTCAAAGTTTTATATTGGTTGATATTGAATGTAGGGTCTATTCATGCTACTCTACACTAAAGTGAGAGAAATGAAGAAATGAGGAGGCGAAAGGTATAGATGTACTATGATCTATTTACTCTATTGCACATTGATAGCACAACCACCAAGTACGTTGGATTCAACGGGTAGAAACAAGACAGGTACTGGTACATAAGACCAGTAGTTGGCCGAAGCGTTGAGAATCTTTTATTTGATTGTTTATTTACATTTACCAGGTTATATTTATATACGAGTATAACTAGCAAAGTACGGGGTCGGTATGTATAATATATATATATATTAAAAATGTTCATGTGATAGATATTCCGAAATTCAATTGCAAAACAGTCCATTTTTTATCCAATCACATCCTTTCGTACTCTATCCCGATACCCGTATTATTAGCTTCACCCCGATAGTTTTACTCATTATACTCTCGTTAACTCCCGTACTACTCCAGAATATCGGTAATCTCCATCTACTAGCGTCTCCATGGCCCTCCTCCAATCTGAATCTAAACTCATTTTTCCCTCAACCCATCCAACCCATCCAACCCATCACCCATCTTCCCCTTCTAATTCATCATCCACCTCTTTTTTTATCCCCACTTTCTTGCGCATACCTAGTACCTGAGGTTAAAGGTAGCTAGTTAGCTGCAGCAAGCATTGATCAATTTAAACATTTGATTTGCGTTGCGCCCTTTTTTATTATCTACTGATTTTTAAAGATAATACTACAAAAAAGAAAAAAGAGATATTATCTTCATTTACACATACACCCAGGACCGCGACGACGGCGTTGGCCTCGATCTAAAAGAACTTTCACTTTCCCGACCCCCAGAAGTCGAAACGGAAAGTTTTCAAACTTATCAACACACTATCATATCAAGAAGAACTTTAACTTTATTGTCATCAATTCATCAAAATGGCCGAGGTTTCCTCCACCAGACTCTACCTGGGAAATCTCCCTCGTAATGGTAAGTTATATCAATGCCTTCAATTGCTATGCGACAATCAATAAGTATATTTACTAACCATCCAAATAGCCACCAAAGCTGACGTTGAAGCTCATTTCAACACCCATGGTACTGGCGAAATCACCGAGATCAAACTTATGAATGGCTTCGGTTTCATAGAATACAAAGATGCAATGGATGCGCGCGACGTCGTTCCTGGTAAGGAAATCAACAACAACAACAAATCATATCGAAGGCGAACACAATTGATAACATATTCTTCTTCACAGCCTTCCACGGTTCCGACTTTATGGGCGAACGCTTGACTGTACAGTTCGCCCGTGGTACTCGTAATCGAGATACCTTTGCCACTACTGAGCGAACTGCTCCTCGTCCCAGACGTACCCCCCATCGAATGCAAATCTCTGGACTTCCAGGTGAGACCAGCTGGCAGGTCTGTTTACCCCGTTCCTTCATCCGGACTCATGGATATCAATTCTTGCTATTTGGACTATATACCACATAATCTTTGGACGCCTTCCCTCTATTACAAACCGTCACTGGCCAAATTACCATTGTAATCCTAGTCAGCGGCGCGCCTGTTATGGAATTTGTATTTTCATACCATAACAATATGCTAGTGCATTTGCGCGGGCGGCCAGGATTTCATGGACTCGTATAAACGTCAATCGCTATTGGCCTTTCTATTCAATGTCTCGACTTCCTTTCTGCTATCATTGCTTGCTACTGCCCTTGCATATCCGGAAAAGGTCATTCTGCGCTGGAAAGATGGCCGACCTCTGGAAGGTGAATCAGCTACTTTAGAAGGGATATATTCCTGGCTACTAATTCAAGGGCAACATCCCTCCCCTGGTATTTTCAAAGCCCAACAGACCAGGACAACAACTTACGTGGACTTCTGGATATAGGATCTTAAAGACTTCGCTCGTCAATCTAGTCTCGACGTCGTTTATTCGGAGACTGGTCGTGACCGTGATGGCAAAGGGTAAGTGATACCCGGACCTTTTTAAATTGGACAATCATTAATGCTTAACGAAATAGAAGCTTTGTTGAGTTCGAGACCGCTGCAGATTTGAAGACTGCAGTGGAAAAGCTCGACGGCCGTGAATTCAAAGGCGCACGTGTCACTTGCACTGCTGATGTAAGACCCAGTTCCATACTTGAATTCATGTTTTAATTCATTGCCTACTGTTGAAGTTGCTCCGGTCAAGACACTGACAAGATGGAACAGACTCAACCGGATGTTCCTCGTGATCGTGCAAGATCTCGATCCCCAGTTCCTCGAGGACGACCTTACCCTGCCGATGATTATGATCGACGCGGTCCACCTCGTGGCTACAGTCCTCGTCGTGATGTTTATCGCGATCGAAGCCCACCTCGTCGTGCTTATTATGATGATGACCGTGGTCGTTATGGCCGTTCTCCACCACCCAGACCTCGTGGTCCAATCGATGATTACCCACCACCACGTCGCAGCGGTTTCGATGATCCTTATCGTCGTGACTACCCGCCAGCTGATCCATACGTCAATGGACATGGCAGACCGCCCTATGACCGTCCTCCTCCACGAGACTACCCACCAAGAGATGCCGGATATGCTGAAGACTATCGTCGTGGCCGCTACTGGTAAATCTCCTTTCCAACCAGGTTGCAAAAGTAACTACCTGGATTCTGCTCACACATCATAGATTTTTTAATGACAACGGGGTGGGACATGAAATGGTTTTCTATTGATGATTCACGGTGAACAGGCCAAGGGGCGTTTTTAGGTAACGTCATCAGGCCTTTCACGGAAGGTTATGATGTGAATACACGGATTTCGCTAGTTGGCTTTTTCAGTCTTGTTCTTTTTCTTTGCTCAATCAAAAGCATACCCGGGGACCGTTCTCTTACCATACCACTGTATATGAGAACATGCTTTTTCTTACAAAATGTGGATCAACCTTCAAGGTATGACTTTCACTTTACGACATGTATTCATAGAAATCAATGATTATTTCATTTACGAAATCCATGCGCCCCTGACCACTACTTACTTGGTGATGATTTATATTCTTGCATTGCAAGCTTTAATTCTTGTAGGGCCGTCACCATCACCGTTGATAGTGTCAAGCCTTTTCTTGAGGATTCCGGAAACCAGGAGATCAATACTAACATGTTGGGGGGGAGAGGGGGGGTTTCCAATTATGGATTGTGAGATATAGATAATACATATATACAAGTCTGGACTATCTGATAGCTAATAAATTCGTCTTGACTAATTTGTCGAAAGGGCCAAAAACAGTAGCTGACCGAGATTTGAACTTTCCCATGTACTTTATTTAATACAGTATCTGTTTCGTAAACTCCACGAAGGTTGAAAATGTTATGTTAAGATAGATAAAAATGTAGTACTACGAGTATATATATAGATATAGATAGATATAGATATTCATCCCCATTCCATTTCATTTCATCATCATGTATCAGACATCCAAAAGTCCAAATATCAAAGTTCAGTCCATTCTCGAACATACCTAGGTAGGTATTGCTATCCACCGTCTTTATCTCCGTCGATAAGACGATAAGAACAATTCGCATTCCCACTCTTATCCGATCCTTGCATCATAGGTACCGTACAAGACAGTAGAGGGATTGGATTCAATATCTCCGATCATTTTTTATAATTCTATATAAACTTCACTCTTCATTTCTTTTGTTTCTCTTCTCCCTCTACTACTCTACAGATGCGATTCTCATTCCTCCGATCTTTCCTCCGGCCACGACCGCGCAAATCATCTTCTCCCTCATCCAATCCCAATCCTGATCCAACCCCAAACTATACAACAACAAGAGCAATGTCTGGCGGTATGGTTGGCGCAGCATTATATGCAGCTAGCATGACGAGTCCCACAGCTCTCGGTGCCGTGCCCGAGAACAATATAGCTAAAGCGCATCATTTGAAAGATGGGAAGGGATTTACAAATCCGTGGGATTCGTGGATTGAAAAGAGTGCGCCGGGGATCGCCATGGCTATGATACGGTAGGTGGGAACTTTAGGGAGTTTTGTTAAGATGGGTGTTTCAGATAATTAAGCAATTCGCATATACATGTTCTGCATTCATGGGAAAGTTGCGGATTAGATCGGTTCGGATTACAGGCAGATCTATGTCATACAATTCAGATGTAATTGAATCAACATGGAAGCTTTGCTATGCACACAAGTACTTCAACATACTTATACTGACTCCCTCTCCCCCAGAGCAAAACTCACCGGCGAATTCGGCAACCCTGACACCACACCCCCCACTGTCCCCGTCGTCCAACCCACCTTCCTCCCCAACCGAGACTCTTCTGCTCTGCGCGCAACCTGGCTCGGTCACGCTTGCTACTACGTCGAATATCCATCTGGCCTCCGCGTCCTCTTTGATCCCGTCTTCGAAGAACGATGTTCCCCATTCTCTTTCATGGGTCCAAAACGCTATACACCCATCCCCTGCAAACTGAGCGACATTCCAATTGTAGATTTGGTGGTCATAAGTCATAGTCATTATGATCATCTTTCACATCCGACAGTGATGGAATTACATAAAAGTCATCCAAACGCGCATTTTCTGGTTGGGTTGGGACTGAAGAAATGGTTTCACGAGTGTGGGATTGAGAATGTGGAGGAGATGGATTGGTGGACTGATATTGACGTTACCTTATCCCCCATTACAGGCGAAAAACGCATCTCTACCAGCTCATCCAGAAATCCCTCTTCACTACTCCCATCCCCCACATCCCCTTCCACTTCCCCATCCTCCCCAATAACAGCACGCATATCCTGTCTCCCCTCCCAACACACCTCCGCCCGCACCGCCTTCGACAAAGGCTGCACCCTCTGGTGTTCCTGGGCCGTTTCCTCTGGCGATAAATCCGTTTGGTTCGGAGGCGACACCGGATATCGAGCGGTCCCCCAGGTCCCCAAAGGAACGGATGATTACGGACATGAGTATCAGCATTTACCTATCTGTCCTGCCTTCAAGGAAATCGGAGAGTTGAGAGGTCCATTTGATTTGGGTCTGATTCCCATCGGTGCTTATGGTACGCTTCCCCCGTTACCCCATTCTCACATGGAATCTCATCTCATCTCGTATCCTACCTATTTCCTTTCTCCTCCCCATCACATTACATTTTCTAAACCCACGGCACCACTACCCACTAATCCCCTTCCCCCCTCACAGAACCCCGCCACATCTTCTCGCCCATGCACGCCAACCCCTTTGATTCCGTAAACATATTCCTCGATACAAAATGCAAACGCGCCATGGGCATCCACTGGGGAACCTGGGTCCTAACCCCCGAAGCTGTCATGGAACCACCTCAACTATTAAAGAAAGCTTTGGCTTGGAAGAAGTTACCCGAGACGGGTGTTTTTGACGTGTGTGATATTGGGGAGAGTAGGGAGTTTTAGGATAACAATCATGAATCGTGATTTCATTTGGAGTTAGTTGATATACCGATATTTGAGGATAGTTACCTCCTAGGTATATGAGATATGAGACCGACCTCAAGTCTGTAATTTAATCTTACTAGAATCAATATACTCGGGTATAGTTTTATTCTAGATGGAAATCTTTTCATAAGATTATTTTTATAAGAATATTTTCATATAATTGTGATCCCATACTCCAAGGATCTAGAGGGTTTCTCAAAGGACCCCTCGTTCACTAGATTGTCGGTCTTAGCAATATGTTAGACAATAACAGTATTATTATCCACAACCTCACCCCCACATGTTGATCTCCAGGTCTCGGGAACCCCTCAAAAAGAAGGCTTGACATCATCACAGATTGTTGATGTGATAGCTCAAATAATCCTGTTATGGCTTTAACCCAATTTATCCTATTTGTCGACCATCTTTATATACCTTCTCAATTGGTCTTTCATCATATTTATGTGGTGCTTTTGCTCCAATAAATAGAATTAGTTAAAGCCTTTCCAAAACCCGAGACCGAAGCTTTATAAGCAACTCTCGTAACTTCTTGTACTACATAGATCCATCCCATTTGTATGAATATAAACTTTACCTTTACAAGTCCTTCTTTATTTCTTTCTCTTTCCTTATGTTTAAAATACCATTGAATAGATTCTTTCAAACATCTCAACACTTTACTCGTATAAATATCGTTCAAACAATGTCTTCCTCTTCCTCCTCAGAAAGACCATCAGGATTAATTGCCAAGTCCGGCATAGAACTTCTAACCTGGGGTACTCCCAATGGTCATAAAGCAACAATCCTGCTCGAAGAACTCAAGGAAGCTTATGGCAAAGATTACGTCTATCAGGCAATCAACATCTCGGAGAATATTCAAAAAGAACCCTGGTTTACAAAGGTCTGCCCTAATGGTCGGATTCCGGCCCTGGTCGATCATGATCGAAACGATTTTGCCGTTTTTGAGGGTGCAGCTATCTTGGCTTATATGACGCGTCATTATGATCCGGAATATAAATTCAGTTTTGAGGATCCGGATGATGTTAGTTGTGCTGAACAATGGATTGCTTTCCAGTGAGTTGACTTGAGAATATTTCCTGTGTATATACAGAGAGAGACTAACTCGAATCCCAGACACGGTGGTTTAGGTCCAATGCAGGGTCAGGTAAATCAACAAGCTCTCCCTTTTTAATACGTTCTATGCTAAGAACCTTTAGGCAAATCATTTCTACCGACTCGCCAAAGAACGCATTCCATACCCCACCCAGCGCTACGTAGGAGAAAGCGAGCGATTATACGGAGTTCTCGACAACCACTTAAAAACCCGTGACTACATCGTCGGACCAGGAAAAGGCAAATACAGCATAGCGGATATAGCGAATTTCAGCTGGGTCAACGTCTCCTACTTTGCCGGCGTCGATCTAACGCAATTCCCGCATTTGGAAAAGTGGTGGGAGAGGGTGGATGCTAGAGCGGCGGTCAAGAAGGGCACGATGGTTCCGAGTGTAAGTAAAATCACAAATGTGGGGTATAAGCGTAGATTGGAGGAGGAACCGGAGTTTAAGGTGGATGAGGATAGGTTGAGGGAGTTGGGGAATAAGGCGAAGGAATTGTATGGGTATAAGTATACTTCTCCATAGTCGGATGAGGATGTTTGGGGCATTGCGATTTTTGATCGGAGGTCTGTTTGATGTTGAAGAGATGGATGTGCTGTCTGCTATACCTACTCGTATTGCGGCTTGCGGCTTGGACTTGAGCATTCATCGTATCATAGAGAGCTTACTCGTAGATGTCATCAAATATATCATGGGAATATCTACGATATACAACATCCTTCTTCCAACAAACAAACAAACGTGATCGTCTTCAACTACCGGGATCTTCTCCACAAAGCCAAGTTATAAGGAGGTCACAAAGTTAAATGTGCAACCTTTTTCCTCAAATACCGGTATGTAACTTTTTATTAGAAAGTTAGCCTCGGGAGCTTGGAATAGAGGTCCGTGCACCAGTAGAAGCCTTCTTACACCACCTACAGTAAAAACTAAAGCACAAACAACCCACAGGATAATTTCCAATCCCCCAAATTCATCAATTATCATCTAATCGAGTATGTCATTGACACCAGCTACATTATATTGATCACTATTACAACTTCATATTTGTCAGTCAAGTACTCGAGTAAGAATAGACATCAACAAGCCTGGCAAAATAAGCAATGAGAATTATCAAAACAAATGGATCAAGGGCAAGCTGCTATTGATATGTTCCAAATGCTGAGGATACTTGTGGATCTTTGATTACACCGGAGACATTGATGTCTTTCTTATGGCCCTATGGATATTTGTGTAGTGCAAAGGATATCGTATGCCGTTATCGTTGATGTCTTTAAGGGTAATTCAACATGTTGTGCTTGAACCCTTGTGATGTAGAGAAGTACCTAGGTAGGTATATTTATTTACTCGTATATGAATCTTCATGGCCAAATATTCTACCTACTATGTCATCATATGATTGAATTAGATGCAAACTTGTATTTCAAATCTCTGTCGATCTCATCCCGTCTCCCCCTCATTTTCTGTTTGCCCATACTCTTACTCCTTCATTTTGCCTTCTACTCGAGTATTATCGGCTAAGATATGATCAGGTACGTATAAGGTTACCCCGCAGTATCATATTCACCCCACACTACGTGACAAGGTCGTAGTTCCGATGAGTACTGCAGAACAGAAACTTATGCACACATGGCAATCGGGCGGTCATTCTTCCATCCTCGTTCTCTAGACTTGCCTAGACTTGCTGCTTCATTTGGCCGGATCCTTTTTTTCTTCATGTTAGTTCGTGCTGCATACTGCATGAACTTGATCACCCGCCAATCGTGTTCATACTTATGATTGCCGAGTTCGGCAATTCTACGAGTACATCTAAAATGATATGCGCCGAAATGGGACAGCTTCAATTCGCCTCTTATTTCTTTTACGTGGAACGCTGGAGTCGAATGAAATGTATCAATGAATAGGAATAGCTACATATTCAATACAAGGATCTTGTCAAAGTACTACTTAGATATTCAGCATGATTCAAAAAGTTATATATGTGCATGTGCTGCACTTCAAGTCTAGCTGGCGGCATATATACTCGAGGAGATGACCTTCGGAGGGGCTGTTAGACATAAACTTTTAAAGAAACTTTATTTGGAGATCTCTCAATTGGTTATGGGTCCAAAATTGTACTGAGCAGTCAAGGTCCTGTCTTCGTAGTCCTCATCTGATCTTTGGTACAAGTTACATACCGTCGCATACCTCTTGTCCATTCACATATATATTCGATTTACATGATCGCGTGCCCAAACTCACCTGGCAGGTGACTTCCTTTCTATATCCTTTGAAGTACCTTTCCGTCTAAATACATCTTCATATTGATCGATTCTTCAATCTTAATCTCCCATACTTTGGATCGGTTTTCTCAGCTTATCTCGCTCTGCCCTGGCCTCTTTCAAACTGATGACACTAAATACTCTACTCTTCCTCACTTTTTCAAGATGCTATTCCGGCTGGCAGCGGCAGTCTGTTGCCTTATTGTAACCACTATATCATCACCTATCCAAGACAGGAAAAGGCCTCAGTTAATATCTCTCGTTAATTTAGGATATGCTCAGTACCAAGGTACATTATTGAGCTTAGGAATCACTCAATACCTTGGCATGCGATATGCATCTCCCCCTCTCGGCGACTTACGATTTCGCGCCCCTCAACCACCCCAAAGCTTGAGTGGTGTTCAAAATGCTCAAACGGTATAGAGTTGCTCACATGCCAGATTTGGTATTCACTAATTCTCTCCTTTAGTTTCAACCGATTTGCCTCGCTACTAATAATGGACCCACCTCCTCCCAATCAGAAGATTGTCTGTTCGTAAACGTATGGGCACCCAGCACTGCTACTTCGGCTTCCAAACTTCCAGTATGGGTCTTTATACAAGGCGGCGGATATATCTCCAATTCCAATGCCAATTTTAATGGCTCAACAGTAGTCAATACATCGAATCGTGGTATCGTTTTTGTCAATTTCAATTATAGGGTTGGACCGTTTGGTTTTTTGACAAGCGAGAAAGTAAGACAAAATGGACATTTAAATACCGGACTTCTTGACCAACGTTTACTATTACAATGGGTTCAAAATCATATAGCCCAGGTACGTAAGAATCATCTTATTACTTGCAGGTGTTGATATCTAGCATAGTTTGGTGGTGATCCAAATCACGTGGTTATTCATGGAGATTCTGCTGGTGCCGGCTCTGTCGCACTTCATCTTACAGCATAGTAAGTCCTCAGAAGTTGCCGAGTCATTCTTTGGCTAATTTTATGATAGCGGTGGTAGAAATGATGGTCTCTTTATCGGTGGAATCGGCGAATCCCCTTTCTTTCCGACGCAACCTCAAGTATCAGAATTAGAATGGCAATTTGACCGTTATGCAAACTCAGCTGGCTGCGGATCAGCAGGTGACGTTCTCGGATGTTTAAGATCTCAAAGTACAGCTGTCCTTCAAGCAGCAAATATTGCTTCTCCATATCCGGGACAAGTGGCCTCGCCTCTTTTCTATTGGACTCCTACTATCGATGGAGACTTTATACAGGATTATCCTTATGTTCTTTTTGAGAAAGGTCTATTCGTGCATGTGCCGATTATGTTTGGAGGTTTGTTATCCAGCTTGTCTCACCTGAAATTTTACTCTACCTAGACACTTACCCATTGATGCTTTCAACAGACGTCACAGAAGAAGGATCCGTATTCGCCCCCAACGCTGCCTCACCAAACGACATCGCAACCTTTTTCAAAAATAACTACCCCCTTCTAACCTCCACCGATACCACCGCCATAAACACCCAATACCCACTCACCTCCCCCCTCCCAAACCACGCCCCCTATTTCCCCTCTGTATCCACCGCTTACGGCGAAACAACCTTTACGTGCCCCGCGATAACCATCTCCATCGCTCTCGCCACCCACAACGACCCAAGCCAAGTATGGTCCTACCGCTACAACGTCCTCGACACCAACAACCTCGCCCAAGGTCTCGGCGTCCCCCACGTCTTCGAATTACCCGCCATCTTCGGCCCCGGCAATGCCAACGATGGCCCATCGAGTTACACGTCATATAATGCGAATATAGTCCCGGTCGTCATGAAATATTGGATAAGCTTTGTTAAATTCCTAAGTCCGAATCAGGGAAAGGATCAGAGTGCGCCGCATTGGGAGAGCTTAGGTAGTTTAAGTGCGGCGGGGGGAACGTTGAGGAGATTGCTGTTGCAGACGAATGGGAGTATGGTGGAGATTATTCCGGATGAACAGCTGGCGAGGTGTAGTTTTTGGAAGGGGTTGGCGGGGAGGATGGAGCAGTAGGGCTTTGGTTATGGTTATGGTTATGGTTATGGTTATGGTGTTAGGTTTAGGGGAGTATAGGATAGGAGTGGAGGAGTTTTTATTTTATTTTATTTTATTTTATTTTATTTTATTTTATTTTATTTTATTTTATTCGTGGGTTAAGGAAAGGGGTATGGGGTTAAGGTATTCGGTGATTTGATATGAATAATTGCATTTGGGACTTAAAATGAGATTTATAGTTGATAGCTATTTATCAGTATAATATTTACTCATTACTAGTATAGTAATCGATGGGATAAGAAAACACAATCTAATCATATTAGATATATAAAACGCATATATAATATCCAATTAGATTTTACATTCTACTATAGTAGAATAAACTCAAATATAGATTTCCAACTATATATATATCAAGAATCAGATGTATAATACTCGCTCGATATCTGAATGTAAGATTTATTACCTGCGCGAATGTATGAAATATATATACTCGTATATATAATATATTCCCCAAGTTGGAAGTTCTGGTGGGTATACTGAGTAATATATATCAATGTCCCAGTCCCAATTAGACAATGCATTTATAGATGTACTATCAAAGTATACCAATTACGGGTTTCCTTCGTGTTTATAATGTATATAGAGTAAATCGTCTGGGTTCAAGATTTCCATGAATAATGTGAGTGAGGGTTTTGGCGTTTATTTAATTCGTGTTGTTGATTTCCGTCCTTATATTGGATTTTGACAACTTAACCGTCACTCATCACACATTTTTCTCAGGCTGGATCTCTCCTTTGGGTATGTTGAGACTCCTCCGACTTGAGAGAAGTATAAAATTTCTTATCCGCCGTGACAATTTTGTGAGATTATGCTACTTTGCCTAATACGGACTAGTGCCTAATCTCTGTTAAAAACTTATCTATCTTGAGTCTTGCCTTGACTCTTCACGCGCGATACTGTCGAAAGGCAAATACGCGTCAAGACCTCCGAAGATGTTGTATGATAGAACGAGGCAGACAAGATCTTGCCAATTCTCATAAAGACGCACTTGCGGTCAAATCACGATTTCTTCGATTGCGGGAAGGTAAAGTACTTACTTGTGTCTACACCGGCCGAACAAGGGACTATTATGATCGATGCAAGAGGAATGCTATACCATCAAGAGAATTATCAGACAGGTTGATCTTACTGTTGGTAATCACAACCCATAGTCAACCATAGGTCGGTAATCTTACCTCAACGTGGATGTTGACAAGGCGAGAGGCAGAGCCGGTGAGTTTGTTCCTGGGACCTTTACCTTTGTGTAACATATTTTCTCACCGAGTATTGAAGTTCTAAATCTGTTACATGAGTTTTCGTCGTCGACTAAGTCCAGGACGCCCGAGGGCGATAAGTTTGAATCAACTGATGGCTTATCTGAAATATATCGGGGCTGGAAGAGATTTACTTCTCATTCTATTCGGCCCCCACAGACATCATTTTCCGCGATCGGTCGAGGACGAATAGCCTCGCATAAATCGTTGTATTTTGCTACACCGCGTTTATTTGGGCGATAGCAGCCGCAATTTTTGGATGCAAATAGAACGATGACCGTAGCGAGCCGCCCTGGGCGATTGGTCAATCCAGACATATATCCCGAGCTTTTCTCTCTCGAAAGACGTCTGCACTTATTACATTTGATTTCAAGCAGCCATGAGAAATCTTCGCATCTAACTCCGAGATGCATTTTCATGATGCATTGTTTACCTTGATTCGAAGTCGGCTTTGTTCTGATTCGGGGAAATCTTCAACTCGGTGACTGGGGTTCTACAAACAGGCTATATGAAGCAAGTGCCCTATATGCAAGCCTCAGGACATACGTGTCAAAAGATTATCCAAACAGAGCTCATGCTTTAAATCATGGATTTTTTGACTCTTAAGGAATCATAAAGAGCATGTAAGGCACCAGTTGAGCTTCGAAAGTTTTGTTTCTATGCGGCTCTTATCCCCCAGCCTCCTCGATTCATCTCTTTTTACTCACCGGAAAAGACATTCAAACTCTTGCCCTTTGGACGGTATGCCTTGCGAATCGTCCTCATTCGAATACCAATCTCCAGTGTCACACTTTACGAATGGTATAGTCCTCTTATTTGGAGTACTTGGCTTGTAGCTTCTCACACGTCCTTATACGAACGCGAATTCAACCGCTATGGTTACGGTTATGGCTACGGCTTTTGCTATCTTTGCCGCTGGAAATATCTACCGGATTAGCACATCGTTTGGAACAAATCTACTAATTTAATGTTTTCTTTCTACATTCTTTGATGAATTAATCACAGTCCTATCTCATTGGAAGTAACAATGAGTCTCGGAATGGGGCGGACAATTATTCAGGTTGAGAATCATAGCCTCGCGGGACGTCACTTCACTATTTCTTGTGTCAAAGATGCATTGTAGGGGGCGCAGTTCTCTCTTTCGAAGTCTGTACGCTTCATTGCATTTCTTTTCTTTACTTTCAGTTCCGCCGACCGAAATGCCCCATTCACCCCAATTGCCTCCCTTTATGCGTTGAAGATGAGTTAAGTCTCGTGTTTCTCCTCATAACCCCTTTTCGATGCCCTTTTTCTATATACCCATCGTCAATGGGGCCTTGAATCCCAGTATGGTTGATTCGCTTGGTGTTTTTGAATTCCCCATCATGGTTGAGAATAGTGCTACGCACCCACCCGCACGTCGTTCCAACACCAATCGTTCGGTTTGGTTTCTTCGTTGCCCCGTCTTCCCTAACCGTCTCCCCAATATGAATTAGCTAAGCATTATTGACTGTGGTGAAATAAATATTACAAGTGTCTTGACTCGCCAGCTTATGAAGGGTTTGAACGTTATTGTCCTTTTTTACTCTAGATAATTGGCTACACTTTGTACCAGCAGTATGTTAGACACCTTCGAGAATAGATGTCTGCTAATGAATTCAACCCAGGGTTACTAATTGGGTAATATCGACCCCCTTGTACCATCATCGCATACTTTATAGTGACTAGCCTCGAGCCTCGATCGCCAAAACCGACCTGTCGTCTCTTCTGGCAATCTCGACTGATGACAGTAGACTCAGGAGGCGCCTAAGACCTTTTGATAGTTGTTGTTTTTCACAAAGCACAATATGGCCTACCAGTATAATAAATCCGGGATGCACTATCTATCCAATTGTTCTGCACCAGTGCCTCCATCAGTGGATGGAGCTCAAACTGTTTCATACACCCATTACCGTCCCTCTTACATGGAACAAACCCCTTCTTTCAATCAAATATACCCCCGAGCTAACGATTTTGACGTCGAACACGCAGTAAATGAGAAGAAATCTAGCCTATTCCCTTCATATCCTGATAAATTCTGCCACGCTCCGCCTACTCCTTATTATGCCTCTCAACCAAAAAATACATATTTTCATTCGGACAATGCCACTCAAAGATACGCACACGATGATAGTAAGACTTTGCCTACCACCACCGCGACCCCGTCAATACCCCAACAACCCTTCCGCGATCGATACAATTCATCGTCAGCCTATCCATTGGAAGAAGACTACGGGTCAGGTTATCGTGGCTCAGTCCCTACAACTCAGGTTGGTTCGGCGATTTCACTAGGGTACGATCCTTTACAACAAACTCTCTCAGCGCCGCAAAATCACGATCCGTTCTCGTTCAATCCTCCGTACTATGCGACTCCCGCATTAACATACGCCAAAAGTCCAAATTTGGAGACAGTCTATGATTACCCAACAAACACCCCTCAAATACCCGCCTCTCACTATACACACTACGCTCTTAATTCACACGCTACTTTATTTAATACAACCCTCATAGACCGTGAAGCTGCAGTTCATGCGCCCAAGTCCAATAACTGGCACACTTTTAAACCACCGGACATACAAAATACGGAATTAGATAATTTATCTGCCGGAGAAACAATGCCGTCTGCACATGGACCTCAGCATGTGGGCTTCTCGATGATACAGGGAGGCGCTCTACCAAGTAGTGATGTTAGAGCTTCTCAATACAACGATGTTCGTACGTCTCACCACACATCAAAAACACCCGTTATTCATCAACGGCGTGTATCCGTCCCGTCAAATCCATTCGCTTCCATAGATTTGAACCCTACGGTACCCCTGTACGATTACGATGAAGCTGGGTATGCTGACTCTGTCCGGTACAGTCAACACCAGACCAACCAACTTCACCACCAACCGCAACCAGCATCGATAGATGATATTTGTCCAAGGAAATATCCAAGCATATGTACCCATGTTGATTGCTTTTCGAATTTAACCAAAACGAAATCCTTCAGAAAGGACAAAGAGTGGCGAGATCATTTTTACCGCACTCATGAAAAACGATACAGATGCGGATACATGGACTGCCCAATGATATTCGGCACGTCAGGAGATGTCAAACGTCACAGAGAATCTGTCCACAAAATTGGATTGGAGAAATCAAAGCAGTATTCCTGCCGCATACTTGACTGTCAAGCTCGACAAATGAATTTTACTAGACGTGATAAATTCAATGACCATTGTGCTAGATGGCACGGTACCTTCTGCTGTACGATGCACGACTGTCCGAGAGGTCGCTATCATGGCTTTAAAGATCAAGCGGCGCTTGATACGCATTTTCGGCGGGAACATATGCAAGGCTAAATCCTAAGTGTTTGCGGTGTATATTTGGTATTTCTTTTCTTTTCAGCACGATGGTTGCATGTTACTCTCTGGAAGGGATATATTGTTTTGGTGACGATAGCATATTATCCGGGTAGCAGACATCACTTACTTCAGGTATAACGAATTGCGGGACAGGAGGTAGCTGTGTGAACAAGGAATTGATATTTGCTTTTCATATGCCATAGCTGATACTTCAGAAATGTGACTTTTCTGCATGTTAGTTGTGTGATGTGACTATCATAGCCTCGTCAAGGCCTACTGATAATAATCACGGCAGATTTAGTGTCTCGTAAAGCCAGATTTCAGAGACAGAAGAACCAAATCTCATAATTTCGTGGTAATCCAATATTGGCAAGGTTCTCACTGGTTCGATGTATATAAAGTCTCTGTTTCCCCCTCTTCATAACCTCTAAACCACCGTGCGTCTTTTAGTACGCATTCACACCGAAAACCTCCTCAGTCAACAATCAAAGCCTCATCGTTTCGCCATTCTTTTCGCCTCACCGATGTGCCTGACATGGATTACGGTTATGACGACTGTGATTGGCCAGTTGGTAACGACATGTCACGGCTGTCACAGCCACAATATGCAATACAACGCCCCATTGCACCTCACGAGGAGCACGACTTTGCAGATTCATGGGCTGAGCCTAGACTGATGGAAGACAATTATCTTTGGGGCAATTGGTATGTAGGACATATTTTCCATGTCAACTTAATTTGGGGTATCAATTGGGGCACTTCCATGCATACAGGCAGCAGTATTCGCTAATGGGGCATTGCTCGCTAGTTCCAATATCCTCGACATCAACGACCTATTATTGCAGTCCATTAAACTTTACCAAGGAAATGATTTGTTCTCGTCTTTTTACCCGGATGCCTTTTCTTCGATTCCTGATGTACATGAAGAGATTTCGTCTCCGGTGACGGAAACGGATATCTCTTCCTTTGGACCAGTGACTTTCGATCCTACATTTGAATTCGGGCCTCTTTATGAACCATGGTCAGATATGCAAACGATTTTCGAACCCACGGAATCATCGAGCCTAGGATGTCAATATGATTCATACCATGCCGAGCATAAGCTTGCTTGTGATTCCTCCCTAGATCTCACTTGGCACCGTCGCGAGCACGCACAAATCCTCCTCGATTCTTTCTCGGGGCCAAATCGTTGTCCATGGAACGGATGCACCTCGCGTGCAAAGTTTGCTAATCCAAAATTCCTTAATATTCATCTAATCAACATACACGTCGAACCTTTGGTTTGTGGAGTCAATGGATGTGGCTATCAAAAACCCTTTAGAAACAAACATGACTTGGAGAGACACAAGCGAACGGCGCATATGAACGTCAAGGAATTTGAGTGTCCATATCCGAGCTGCAGTGAGGAGGGACTGGGGTTCGTGAGAAAGGATAAGCTTTTGGTTCATTTTAGGGATGTGCATAGTGATGGGAGTGGTAGGGTATGTCCTATTTTACATTGTGGGGTGATGCTGAGCGGGGACGGTCAAGGTGAGGAGGAGGAAGGAAAAGAAAGGATGGGGGAACATATGAAGAGAGATCATGGAAGCTTTGAATGTGCATTGGGAAGGTGCGGTGGAAAAAATGAGCAACAGAAACCGAAAAGCCTGTTTTCGGATCAGGGGCTAGAAAAACATCTGAAAAGGGAACATGAGATAAATGGAAGCGAGGCTTTAAGGTTAGTGAGTACTGTGAGAAAAGTGAAGGATAAGACAGTTAGATGGAATACTGTCGGGAAAGGGTGTACATGAAATGATTGCAAAAACTGTGGTGGATGAAAGATGACAGAGTAGAATTGGCTGTACACGCTGGAATTCTCGAGGTGGTTGTATATGTAGAATCTGTCTTTTGTGCAAATGGGGAGTTTGTGTGTTTTCGGCCAGGCTTGTGCATCATAGTAATTTGGCACTCAGGTCTGTTATATGATATTAGATACATAATGAGGTTCATTCTTCGTCTAATTTATTCAGTGTTCTATCTAGATGAACATTAAAGTTGCCGGTACTCTAGAAACCCACAGCTGTACAACGTCATCTAATCTTTTGCAACCTGTGAGTTCCTGCAATAGGCCTTGGAATACTGGTAGATTCAGATTGACTGGTAGATTGTTTCTTCGCGTGTTTTGTCTCCTGTTTTTTCTCCTGCTTTTTCGGTACGCTTTCCGGTAGCGAAATTGTTCTTCTCGGCTTTGGCTTGAGATCCAAAGCCCAGCTGAGCTTGCCATTCTTATCAAATACGGGTCTACCACTTTTCGGACAACACAATATATGGTCTTCCCTCGTAGAATCATACAACCACCCTTTCGTTGGATCTAATATTCTCTCATCTGGGGCTGGGATTTTGAAATCTACTTTTAGGGACCTAGTTTCGTGGGCATGCTTAAAAATGTTGGCATCGTCCGCTCTTTTGAGACAGATGTTTAGCCATTTTTGATAATTGTATTTAGATCGTTCTACCATGGTGATTGCAATAATTTGGAGAAATTTAGCTTTTGCGGAGACTTTGAGACCAGTAGTGTACAGCACTCCCAAAGTCTCTATATCCTTTAGTTTACCAAACGGTACTCGACAAGGACGTCGAGTCAACCAGGGTCGAAAATGAACTTCTTTGGGGTCTTGAATCCTTATCGTTTGGTCTTTCTTCCCTCTCTCTTTTAATTTTTGCTCCTTTGTGGCCTCTGTAAGAAACACGTAATCGTCGGACTCGCCATAATGAGTTACTTTAGTCGATGACTGGTCTTTCACTATTGCAGTGCTGTGGACAAACTTAAACGCGAAAGATGCGCATATGTCATCGTTGGGATCGGCGAGCTTCGGCGACGCAACATCTTCTCCAAGATAGATGAGACGAACTACAGAAGTCATGATAATTGTGTGAAAGTACTCTGAATTAGATGCGTGTGAATCGCAGGATATCTGTGTTCGGAACTGACTATTGAAGCATCGAGTGTTGTGCCATAAAGAAACTGAAAGAGCATATTCTGCATTTAAGTACCTCGAGGGACTTATACTTCACCGCAATCCACATGTTAGCAAGAACTATTCTCACGGGAAACCCTTTTTTGTCGCACAAAGATGACCAAAGAGTGGAATTTTACGAAGTTTCTGTCTCGAGCGCTTATCATACTGACCATGGAAGAACATTTCATTCTTGTAACTCATTACTTATCACCGGGCCGAAAAAGAGGGAAATAACGTAGCTTGGGCCAGAGATCTATCCCATCTAAAGCCCCAAGAACAAAAGTCATGTAAGATATATATGATAAATGAATGATGGGGCCTAGAGGTAGAAGAAGGCACCGGGCGCTTGTCGAAGGAAGGTTGACCGCTTTTATAGACCATTCGGCGCAGATCTAGACCAACAGGAAGAGCAAGAATCTATAAAACATTTTACGTAAATTCGACAGATATAGATGTGGTAGTAGAGTACCTCGTGGCCGCCTTCGTTGTGGTGGTCGCAGATTATCTCAAATGCGCGCCATACTTTGGCACAACAAAACAGGTTCTATACTCACCATAGTTCAATATATTGCGACAGAAACTATGAAACGGTTGGAGAGACTATCAAACACGGAAATGCAGACGTGGGAGACCTCTGTAGAAGCTCATGAATATAATACATAGAGCTACCGCTACCAAGTACAGATATTTGGAGAACTTTCTTCAAACTACATGTCAAAATCGCATCTACTCGAGTTGAGCCTTGCAGACAAGCATCAAAACTAAATCAACATTCCCGTCATATCCATCTGAACAATTCTTTGGTTACTACACTAAAGGATATACAGAGAACAAACTGCTCTGAAGACTTATTATACCAAAATTAAATTCAAAATGTACTCAATCCATCATGCACTCCAATTTTTCTCGCACCTACATTCAAGAATTCATCTATCGCGCTTGAGGTAATACAAAAATAAAGTAGATTCAGTAATAATGAATAAGATATTGAACTTTGTCGCCTCTAGATCTGCATACAATGGACTCTACCCGCCCTCATCTGGCCCAATTCACTTGCACCCAACGATCGTTGGCACCAAATGATTCTAAGGTAGATGACGCACTTGATCGTCTTCCCCAGAGATAATTAAAAGAGAAGGCCAATGAGGTTGTACTCAAGTGCTTTGAATCCATCATACGCCACATGAATAAGCATGAACTTGAGACAATAGAAGATGCTTGCAGTTGCGAGAAGCCTCGAAGCCATGACGGTGCCAGAGACAGAGAGCAGAGAGCGTGATACAGTGATCGGTCATTCTAATCACTACCTACCTAGTACATTTCAATAACGATTACTCCGTAACTTTGAGTCAAGGTAATTTCTGTTCTACTGTAACCACTTCGCTAATTTGATAGTACGGATCTTTGGCAGTATCAAACCTTATAAAAAGTCAAAAATCTACCAGAAACTACAATGTTCAAAAGGGGAAGAGGGACAAAGAAATATAACCCCCTCCCTCAAGAAAACCCACACAAATGATTTGAATAGCTGCAAGACGAAAGCCAAAAGGTTTGAGCAGCAGAGATTTGAATCCTGGGATCATGGATGCACAACACAAGCCTGTGACTCGCACTGCCTATGTATAAATATAAATATAAATACGAGCCCGGCCCCTGGGACTTACAATGCCTATGTAGGAAATATAAATGAGGTACTCTACCATCGAGTTACCGCCCCTGATAGTTGTGTTATCGTTGGAGAACATTCGTTTATTTGAATATGTAATACTGCAGGACTGTTGAAACGCCTTGGGTACGCTGGTCTCGTTCTCATATCACCAGTCCAGTCATCATTAGAGATGAATAATGTGCTCATGATCCTAGACAGATACATCTCAGAGTACTATCCTCTTATCTCTTGCTCTCTCTTTATTTATCTTTCTCATTTCTTCCTTCTCCGACTTCTCGATCCTTTTCCCTGGACCCTCACCTCCCCAAGAATATAACACTACCGCCAAACTCCGAAGATTGACCAAGCCATATCAATCCCGTAGTCCTATCACATCCATCCCACTCCTTTAGTACCAGGTCAAGACATAGCCACCAATTTTACCACGTTTGCCGCTCCCAACGCCGATATCAAATACGTTCCTAATCTAGATACATTTTTATCTACATCGTCTAAAATGCCAAATGCCCAATGCCTTGGGAAAATGGTAAGACTCAGAACACACAAGCGATCACAAACACTTCTTTTGCGTCAAACTTTGGGGACCTGGTAGACGTGTGTGCGAGCTCATTTGCTCGCTACTAGCCCTACCGTGCAATGTTGAAGATGTGCATCGAATTTGTTATGTACTTAGTGATATGACAGATGTGTCTCACTTGTAGAACGACTCGACAATTTCAAGTACCGTTATACTTGATTTCATGAGCTTCCAACTCCTCAGTCAAGCCGTTTACTGGAAGTGGCGTAGAGGAGGGGAGAGCGGTATTAAGGATGGGAGCGATAAGCCTTGATGTTGGCATAGAAGGAGGTCTAGCCAGAGGTATGAAAAGTATGTCTCATAGCGCTTGAGGTTGCATTTTCGTCGTGGAGATTAGGTTGTGGTGGTTTGTCTCAAAGTCACGTTGGGGGTCAACAATAACATGCTTGATTGGGTCAGCCACACGCTACACCGCCACAGATATGCTTACTCAGCAATCTCCATTTCTTCAACACAATTCAATTCACCACAACTTCTGCGCTCGTGTTATACCACCCACATCTGATGCTGTACCTCGGGGGAAAATGTCAAAAGCAAGCAAAATACTGCACCGCACCTTGGTGCACTCACTGGTGCCAGTGCGCTGGATCGTATGATGTACCGTAATACGGCACCGATATCCAAATTGTTGTGAAGCTCCGGAATGCACAGGGTGTGCAGGGTGAGATTTTAATCCCTACTCCAAAGATAATGCGTTCGGTCGTCATCTTCACTAAAGTAGGATCTATCGATAGCTTATCAATAATGGCTATCTCAACCGGTAGTTTCGCTATGAAAGGAACACATATCTACTCCTCAAAACCTATGCACGCCTGCACAGTTCCGTCCTGATGTCTGGGGAATATCCACTTGAGAAGCGGTACTCATCATGGCTGCATCATTTCTAATGATCCTGATCAGTCCAAATACATCGGCGATTACTTGTAGGAATTACCGTACACCCCTTGATCTAACTTGATGTTTATTAACCGCAAATGTCCAGAATGAATCCTTTAGCGCTTTACTTTTCGTTTTCTAATCTATTTCCTTGTCTATGTATAAATTGCCAATAAGAAATTACTAGTGTTAGTACATTGTGAAGCCCTGGTCGCAGAAAGGTGCTTGAGGATTACGACGGAGGTCCACCTACTCCTGTTCCGGTCCCTCCGCCCCCTGTTCTCCGCATATTTGTCTACATATGTCCGGGTAGGGCGTAGTCGCACACAACTAAGGTGTGGTTGCACCAAGGGTGGGGTGATCAAGATGCGTGAGATGTGCTGCTGTAGTGCAGGAGAAAGTTGTGATACCAGTGCACCTTCAATTGTAGTTTTCGATGGAAGCTGATCACAGTATGATCATGTATGTCTTTGATGTTATTCCGAGGAACGTTGAGGATTCCAAATACAGGGAATGGGTGTAATTACTGTACTACTTAAGTGGGGTTTTCGATCTTACTGTAGTAACGGAGGCAACAAACTAGGGAGATACATGCACCAATCGTCGATGAAGGCCATATCTAGGATTGCTTTATGCCAAAGATTACAATATGATCCAGGACCACTATAGCAATGTTCCTATGCGCCTGTTCTTACCTTCATACTGCAGGAACTGGGTACTTCCCTTCTGCTGTACCCTGTCTATGAAAAACGTGTTTGGTGTTTTTAATGTCAGTCATCGTATGATACAAGATCCAGCAAGATCTATGTAGAATTTTCCATCGGGCTCATATTGTAAGCGAAGTTGCAACGAAACGTAATTACAGTGTCCAGAGCTATACTTGTAACGTTGTCGAGGATATGCGAAATTGGTCGTCAATATCACATTTCAATTGTCCTTAGTTGGGTCTAGCTTTGTCAATCACGAAGCCTGTGTATGACATTTCGTACGATACTTATTTATTTTTACTAGCCAGGCATACCAATATCTCGTATCTAGCCAAGAGGGTATCCTCAAGAATGATATCTGCGTAGATATTCGGGTCTCTTGATTTTGACATGGTAACCTAGAAGGTATCCTCAGAGCTACAAGATATCGAGGACTGCTCAATCGAAAGTTTGTACAACTTTTGGTGTTCGTTTTGTGGGTCTATTGAACTTGCATCTCCTCTGACAATTCACTACACAAACTCTCGTTGGTAGAAAACAATAACGTCCTCGACTTCGCGATGTCGTTTTTGGGGGTTGAACCGGGTCTCGTGCCGCAGTATGTTGGGTATCAAATGCAAACCACTGTCATTGCTTTCATGGTCTTGGGCATAGTTTTCGTATCGTTGCGACTTTTTGCCCGATACGTGAGTGGCTCGAGGATGGGCATTGATGATATCTTGATATTACCAGCTATTGTTTGTTACCTCGGACAACGAGTCACTGGCCTATGTGAGTCTTGCGCGAATATGGTGCTCTTCCATTGTCTTATCTGCTCTTACTTGCCCTGTCTATGGCTAACAGCATTATGCAACAGTGATGGTTCGTCGTGGCGGCATTGGATATCATGCGATCTGGTTGAAAACATACCACCCTCTCGCTCTACAGACCTTCGCAAAACTGCAGATCGTAATGGTCATTCTCTATTCGGCTTCAGTTACATTTCCTAAGCTTTCAATGCTCGGGTTATACCTACGCATCTTTGTCGGGAAGCGCGAGCGCATTGCAGCATACACTACGATGGGAATTGTGTCTGCTTCGTTTATAGCCTTGATACTTTGTGCTCTTTTGCAATGCGCCCCGCTGGGATATCTCTGGAATAAGGCGGGCCATCCGGGTGGACATTGCTTCAATACTGGGGTATTTTGGCGTTATGGAAGTCTTCCAAACTTGATTACCGATCTGGCGATGCTGGTCCTACCGTTGCCGTGTATCTGGAAGCTTAAATTATCGCAAAGAGATAAGATTGGCTTGGTGTTTACATTTATTACTGGTAGCATGTAAGTACCAATTATCATCTTCATGTCTTCATACTCACATTCCTATGTAGCGGAATTATTACTGCAATTGTGCGCATTGCATTCTTTTGGAACATTGACGGTCAAACAGACGTGACTTGGGCAGCGGTCAGACTTGGGGAGATCACCATCGCAGAGCCGGGTGTATATCTAATTGCCGCCTGTCTACCTACATATAGGAGTCTGTTTCGATTCTTCAAGGAACGTACCGGTCTCACAACCAAAGGTAGTACTCAAAATACCTGGGGTTCGAAAAAAGACACTAGCGGAATGGAGCTCCCCTCGAGGCATACTGTTAAGAGTGCCGCAGATGGCTTCGAGGAACTCAGCGACGAGGACTTGATCTCTCGAAGAATCTCCAAGAACAAAAATTCGACGCACGTACAAGCTACGGATTACGGGTATAAGAAGGATCCAAAACATCGGAATTCTAATAGGGAAATTCGAGTGCAGAGAGAAGTTAGAGTAGATTCCGTATTAAGGTAGACCACTAAAGTGGTTAAGAGATGCGAAGAATGCGAGTATTATAAAATGGTATGATTGTCCAAGTATGATGTATGAGATGTGATACGATTGGTGTGCTTTAGCGTTCACTTTATCTCTAAATGTGTATTTGTGCTTTCTCAAACTTACCATTAGTTTCAGGAAGTGTAGCTACTCCCAATATTCGCAAAATTGTCAAGGCGAGGAGTGTTTGATACAAAACAATTGCTACCCGTCCTTTTAAATTTGTCACGATAGTTCAATACAACATTTGAGCTCTTGACCCCCTTTGCATCGTCAATTGAAGTCTCGGTCCCTTGGACATCTCATTACCATAGCACAAGGCAAATGATAGAAGCCATATTAATTCGGCGTATAGTATTTACAAAATTGCGCTATGGACCTTCTCGTAGCTAAATGTAGGGGCAGTAGCCCAACCATCATCTGCTCGTTCCAATCAACATTCCACGCCTGATGGCAAACACACATCCCCAGCATTCAACATCATCGAAGCATACATAAACGCAGCAGATTGCTGAACAGCCCCAAGAACACCAGCTTGTCCGAGGACGGCTTCGGCGGCTTTGAAGGAGGCGATGTCTAATGGTCCCCTCGTCTGAGTCAATTTCACGGCCACATGATAGATGGCTTCTTGACGTTTTGTCACGCTTGGTGGACAACGACCGACGAGGAGGGCTTTAACTTGCGCTGCGGTTAAGCCTGCTTTCTCGGCTAAGATGGTATGCGCATATATCCCATATGTCGCTTTGGTGACTGATAGGACACCGAGGACGGCGACTTCAGCTTCACTTGAGACTAACAGACCGGCAACTGCTAGCTGTAAATTTACCCAAGGCTGCGCGACTGTTGGTGTGTATCTATTTGAGGTATTAGTCATGCATCTGAATGGAGGGATTGGAAATGTACTAACAGCAACATGTTGAAGGGTCCTTGGAGTGAGCCATCAGGATTTTCTGTGACAATGGTAGTGCCGTAAACCACCTTTGTAATATCGGCGAGATAATTGTATTGAACGAGCTGAGCCGCATCAAGATTATCATCAACTGGTGTGAGTGGAGGGAATCTCTTGTCTCCATTGCAAGAAGAAGACGCCATATTGCAAGTTCGAGATGAAAAGGTCCGAGGTGAAGTGACAGATAGACTGAGAGCCGTGGATGCGCAAAGTGCTATACTGAGAGCAATGCTTGAACTTTTAATTGGGAAGAGCATCATGTCGTAAGATAGGGCGCTAAATAGGTAAGAAGTGAGAAAGGAAGCTGAGATGTAGCCAGGAAATAAGAGAAGCAGGAGGGTGATACCTGCATGAAAGTGCTTGTTAAATTACGATATCATTCGAGGCCCAAATAGCAAACCCCCGTTTAATATGTACGTTCACGGCGCAGCATGCGTATCCCTGTGGAAAGCTTGCAGGGGAGTTTGGTCCGAAAGTCCCTCAAATCTAATTGGAACTGACTGGCTCTCATGCGAGAGAATCTATGAACTATCAAGACCCATCTATCTCTACTCAATCTAGGAGGTGACCTAATACGATAACAAGGTGTTACCGGATCGGAACGGAGAAGCCGAACCAAAAATAACTTCGCTACCACTTCTACTATATCCAAAGCAATTATTTGGCTTGGAACCGGAAATTACACGACGCAATTCCTCGTACCATCAACATGGTAGTCATGAACTTTGAAGGTAATGGCTGCTCTAATATGTACTCAAAGAGCCAAAGTTGAGGCGTTGGCATCTATGGTTGGCAAGCAATTTTGATAGCATGGCGCGGTATAATACAAGAACGTGATGCTCTAAACTATTAGCGTAAACTTCAATATCCTTCACCAATAGATAGTCTAAACTGCAATTCAATAGAGACAAGTCATCGAATCAATTTAGTGTACCTAGTCATCCGGAACATCATCCGTTTAGATCACTAGCATCAGTGGTTACTCTCAAGGATTCGCAACTCGAACTTTGCAAGACTTTTCAAATCTGCATTGTAGTCCTAGCTATTGTGAGCTCTGCAGATCCTTCTCTTTAGTTGTGGATCTTTGAACCCAAAGCAAACTTAGCTATACATGTTTTTCTCTCTCCTCCGTGGCATTGTTTGCTTCGTCTTCATCTCTGATGGGGGATTCTACCTTCGCCGGCTTTTTTATGCTCTTCCATTCGATCCCAAGTGTACAAAAAAACGCTAGGCCACCACTTACTAATGCTATCATGAATGTTTTGGATGCGGCAACATTGTAAGCTTCCCGGACAACATCCCTCAAAGTACCTGGAACCAGATTTACCCCATCGATTGCTCTAGCTGCAACAATAGCGTTTGTGTCGTTAGCCACTTCAGAATCCTGCAAGCTGTGTATAAGTTCCACCCTGAATATGTTTTGGGCAATTGTGGCTGCAAGCGAGCTACCAAAGAAGGGTGCAAAGATAGTTAATGCACTAGATATCGGTATATCCTTCTTGTCACGGACAGATGCTCGAACAGCGGTGGCACAAAGCTACATCCTAGAGCCAAAGCCATATCCTGCAAGAATCTGGTAGCCTATTGGATGTGCAAGGTCTGTGTTTACTTTGAAAGAAGTAAGTAAACCAGCACCGATGGTGAAAATCGCGGCGCCACTCCACATGAACGGTAAATAAAGACCTATTGAAGCAACAGCGCTTCCTACCACCAGCTGAGATACTGAAAGTGTGACTGTATATGGCAACATCCGAAGCCCAGAGCCAGCAGCCGATGTTCCTTTGGCTGATTGGAAGTAGAAAGGAAGATAGAACGTGTGCACGATAGTCCCCAAATATAAGAGGGCCGAGGTGAGAAGACTGAGGGTAAGACTGCGGTTAAGAAAAATACGAAGAGGTATAGTAGCCCTGAGAATTTGTTAGTTATGGTATGGTTTAGATGTTTTAGAAATTCAGCTTACCTGTCGCCCAGGTACAATTGTAGAATAGTAAAGGATGTCAGGAGAAGTCCAAAACTCAGTATCAACGCCCATACTTTGGAATTCGACCATGGATAATTAGTACCACCCCATTGAAGAGCCAAAACAGAGATACCATACTTGACACAAATAAAATTGTACCCGGGATATCAAGCTCTATAAGTTTCTGTTTGAAAGTAAGTATTGACGGTGTCTGCACTAGGGTTCTAAAGCCCCAGAGAAACATTACTGCCGCTAGCTACACTCATATTAACACGTGGTAAAAAGGTCTCGCGATTCTAGACTCACGAAGATTGATCCAAAAGCAAAACCTCCAGGTCAAACGTGGTATATCTGTGAGAATTCCTCCTAATGGAGGCCCAGTTAAGCCAGCCACCGCAGTCATACTAGTCAGCGTCCCAGGAATAGTGGAACTTTGTGCAAAGGTATTGACAAGGCAATGATAATCATCCCTCCACCTTGAATAGCCGCAGCACTGGAACCAGCCAACGCCCGCCCAAGAATGAACACTGGCGAAGAACGAGCAGTGGCACAGATAATAGACCCAACCTCAAACCCACCAAAGCGCAAAGGAAAACGATCTTCATATCAAAGTAGGTATAAATTTTGCTAAATGTCGGCTGAAGAGCCATGAGCGGAAGTAAATAGGCGCTGGTGTACCAGCCTATATCATCAATACTTTGAAACTCGGTGCTTATTTTGGGGATTGCCGTCGCTTGTGAAATGATTAGTCTATGCGATCATCTCTTGAGGATACCAACACAGATATCTCACATACCAATAATGCTTTTATCCAGAGACATTACGAAGACTAATAACGTCAAAGCTATCGTAAGTATTGTCAATCTCACACCTTCAGGGCACTTCACTCCGCTGGGCGTAACAGCAGCTTCAACATCTTGAAATCCTATGGGAGTGATATTGACAATTTTCATGCCCAATTTTGGATTTGTAGCTTGGCTTGGTCCATTGGAAATTTCGTGAACATCGACAATAGACCTCGTACGATCCAAAATTACTCCGTCATCACCAAAAGACTTCGAATTCTCTGCAGGTTCATTTTTGTCTTCCATATTTGTAAGGATCATCTCAGGGCTACTGAGAATTTCCCGTCGCTCACTTGGGGGACGACAACGATGAAATGATTTTGGAGCGGTATTTTTGCAAACGTAATGGAGAATGGGGAATGGGGAATGACAGGAGATTCTAGGCTTGCATACAAAGCATGGACACTCCAGAAACAGTACACTCGTGAGCATACGATACGCTTCTTGATAATCTAATCTTACAACATTTGCATGTATATTGTATGCTCGCATGGTCTCGAGTGTCAACTAGGCATCGGTCTAAAATCGATTTACACACACTCGGAAGAATACGTAGTATACCATGCTTCTGTTCCACTTTCAGTACATAAGTCATAGTCGATCTTTATCTTTGAGCGTTTGCTGTATGCAAGTTGGAGGCGCGCCGGTGTGATGGTACTGTGATAACGCAAGAAGTACAACCTCCGGTGTCACAATCCCTGACGAGGGTAAACTAATTTAGGGACATACATCTTACGAGTACGGTACAGTACGGAGTAGATGTTAATATCGAGCCACAATTGACGAGAGCTTCATGATCCTGGCTGTCTGGTTCTGGTTCTAGTTCAGTAATGCACGTGTCGGGTATTACTCGGATATTTGTAGTTATGCACAGCCAAGGCTTCCTATTATTATATAGGCAATTACCTTTGCTTTGCTACGCCGCACTACAAAATCCTCAACAAATGTCGCCGACAGACATATCCAGTCTTACTTGGCAGTGTTTCTTACAAGTAGAACATCGTGGCTCTATGGCAAAGCCGAAGAACGAATCTAATGCAGGCCTTGCCTTTTCTCGAACTCCTCAGTTCCAAGTTCCTAGAATGCCAGCAACCAAGGCACGGTTACGGTTACGGTCACGGTCTGGCGGTGGAGGTAAGAAATGCGATGAACTCAAGTGGGGCGATCATTATTGCATTCTGATAGGTTGGAGATTGCCTATTCTAACTACCATCCCATTTTCCTTTCCCCACCAGATTCGTATGGTCAACCATACCAATAGCTTTGATCAATGATTTCGAATACTTCGTGGTAAGAGGAATTATCTATTCCTCGAAACATCCTGGGCAATTGACGCAGTAGCTCTATCAAATGACCGTTGAAGGTCCATGGGCTAATGGTTCCCTTTCTACCTTGGCTAGGCTTTGCCATCTTCGAGGTCAACCTATCTTTGAGACTTCGCCCCTCCCCCGGTCGATAGAGGCAGTAGAGTAAGTATTTAGGCATGTACTTGTATTTCCTGTGCCAGAAAATCACTTTGAAGTGAGAACTCGATATTCTGTCTATTCTATGTTTACTCTTTATCTATGTCTGAAAACTGCACAGGCTTTTACTTTATGTGTTTTGAGTTAAGATTTTGGGCCCAGCAATATCTTGTATCAACAGAATTGCCAAATTGAATTCGAACACTTTGCAGTTCAAGCATCTATTTGTGTTTTACCTTGGTTGTTATTTGCAATCTGAAGATGGCCGTTCACGCAGTACCGATAGCTATCATCGGAATTGGATGTCGCTTTCCAGGTGGTGCCAATAATCCAGATAGGCTTTGGGAACTTCTCTCTGAAGGCCGAGAGACATGGTCAGAGGTACCTGAAGATAGATTCAATTGGAAATCATTTCACCATCCTGACCCCGAGAAGGCGGGAATACACAACCATCGTGGTGGTCACTTTATCGATTCGGATATCGCCACTTTCGATGGAAAATTCTTTGGTACCCCCCCTCAAGAATGTGAAGCAATCGATCCTCAATATCGACTCCAGCTAGAAGTCACATATGAAGCATTAGAAAATGCCGGTCTTCCCTTGGAGGATCTTCGTGGCTCGGACACCGCTGTGTACGTCGCTACTTTTGGAAATGACTATGCTGGTATGCAAAACAGAGATCTCGAGACGATCTCAAAATATCACTTAACTGGAACGGGTTCTGCCATGGCCTCTAATCAGATTTCTTACCTGCTGAACCTTCGAGGTCCGTCCGTCACACTAGACACAGGTTGTTCTGGAAGTATAGTCGCCATTCATCAGGCCTGCCAATCTCTCAGAACTGGAGAGGCCAAAATAGCAGTTGCAGGTGGAGTGAGTTTGATCATAACTCCCGACTTTATGGTACCCATGAGCATGATCGGGTGCGTCCACTTCTCTAATACCCCTGATTTGTTCCCTAGAAAGCGGGAGAGATTAGATTCAACTGACAATATCTAAGCGTCCTCAACAAAGATGGGAAATGCTACTCATTTGATAGCCGAGGTGCAGGTTATGGACGTGGTGAAGGGGCTGCTATGGTGGTCCTCAAAAATCTAGATGATGCGATTCGCGATGGTGACAGTATCCGGGGAATCATCCGGAACTCTGGAGTCGGGCAAGACGGTAAAACGCCGGGTATCACGGTCCCTAGCCGAGAAGCACAGCTAAGTCTTATTCAATCCGTATACCGGCAGGTCAACCTCGATCCTAAAAACACAAGATACATAGAAGCTCATGGTACTGGAACCGTTGTTGGCGACGGTAAGCAACACTGTTATCTTTACAACTTCTATAATATTCTCAACTGGGATATCCTAACTTTCCTTCAGAAGCTGAAATCGCAGCCATCCGGGTAGCTTTTTGTAGCGATGAATCACCTATAACGGTGGGGTCTGTTAAGCCAAACATTGGCCATTTAGAGGTTCGTACTCTGTTTACCAATGTCCTAATTCTACTCCCCGTTGTCAAGCTCCACTTTTTTCTTCCTCAAAACACATCCGTTTCATTTTCTAATGCAGCTCTCATTCCTTATATCCTGCCAAAGTATTCCTCGGTATGCAACTGCTGACTTTTGGATCTGGATGCAGAGTGCAAGCGGCATTGCTAGTCTGATAAAAGCCGTCTTAATGCTGGAGAACGATGCAATTCCCCCAAATGTGAACTTGGTGACCTTGAAAGAGAACCTCCAAGGAAGCGATATTGATGTGAGCTTTTGTCCCGTATATCATCTCTTACTCTGGTTGATCGGGCTGATATGGGATAGATACCGACCAAACTCAAGTTATGGAATGAAACTGCTTTGCGTCGTATCTCAGTCAACAATTATGGCTATGGGGGAACGAATGGTCACCTTATCCTCGACTCCGTCTCAACTTATGAAAAGGAGGTTCTTGGGCGTAAGAAGCTAGAACATGACCATGATTCAAATGATTTGCATGATGGCCACACCAAAACCACTTCTGACGATTTTATTTTAGTGAATGGCCATGACCAGGAATACACAAACGGGGAACTAAGCGATGCATTTTCGAGTGAAATATTGAATGGGGTATCAAATAGTTGGAGAGAGGAACACCTCAAAAGCTCTTTCTCAAAGCCGATAGGCAAGCTAACAAATGGGGCTTGGCAAAGACCAGATCATGATAGCACCTATCCTCAAGTCCTCGTTCTGACGGCTAAATCAGAAGAATCATTAGTCAAGAACATAGACAATTTGCGGCAATGGATCTCTCAAAGTCACAAACTTGAAGACGATGCCTTTCGTGATCTGGCACACACTTTGTCCACCCGTCGATCTGTCTTTTGGTGGAGATTCAGTTTCATAGGCACATCACTGAAAGACGTTCTATCTCGTCTAGATTGGAAGAATCCGAAACCAATGAGAACGGGAACTCAGGGCCAGAAAGTCTTCGTGTTTACGGGTCAAGGCGCGCAATGGTTTGCTATGGGTCGTGAGCTTATGGGACTAAATTCTCTATATCTGAGATCTCTCCAAGCTTCGGACAGAATTTTGAAAGAATTTGGGACTCCTTGGAGCTTAATTGAGGAACTTTCGAGGGAAGCGTCAAGCTCGAGCGTGAATGAAGGTAAGATTGCTCAGCCAGCCACAACGGCACTACAAATTGCTCTTGTCGATCTCCTTTCTTCTATGAAGATATTACCTGATGTTGTTATTGGTCACTCAAGTGGAGAGATAGCCGCAGCTTATGCGGCAGGATCACTTAGTCAGCATTCGGCTCTAAAAGCTGCGTACTACCGTGGACTTCTCAGAGTTAGTGGATTGTTGAAAGGGGCAATGATGGCTGTAGGACTGGGTGAAAAATCAATGTCTCAGTACATCTTACAAGTCACGGCCGGGCAACTGGTAGTCGCGTGTTCTAATAGCCCGGAAAGCTCTACGGTGTCAGGTGACGAAGTTGCAATACTCGAATTGAAGAAACTCCTAGATGCAAATTCGATTTTTGCGAGGAGATTACCAGTCGATGTGGCATACCACTCGCATCATGTCAAATCTGTGGCAAAGCAATATTTACGCAATCTAGCCGGGCTGAAACATAGCACTACATTGTCATCTGTGCAGTTCATCTCATCTGTTACTGGAAAAGATATGACATCTGGATTTGGAGCCGATTACTGGGTCAAAAATCTTGTCTCTCCAGTTCAATTCCAATACGGGTTGGAAGAAATATGTCGAAAGACATCAACGATTTCTCCTCAAAGTAAACTTACGTTCATCGAGATAGGACCTCATAATGCTCTATCTGGACCTATCAGGCAGACAATTTCATCTTTATCGTTGTCTTTAAAATACTCTAGTACGTCGGTCTTGGCTAGAAATCAGGATGCACGCTACACTCTTTTAGAAGCTGTCGGTAAACTTTTTGATGAGGGCTACTCGGTAGATATACAAATCGCAAATTTACTTTTCGACCCTGGTCGACGACAGAAGGTACTGAGTAACCTACCTGCCTATTCATGGGATCATTCAACTAAACATTGGCGCGAATCACGATTAAGTAAAGCTCATCGATTTCGCAATCACCCATACCATGATCTTCTTGGCTCGCGGGTTGTAAGTAGTACAAGTTCAAACCCGATATGGCGGCATATTCTCAGCGTAGATAGCCTTCCATGGCTACGGGAACATGTCATTGATGGCTTCACGATATTCCCCGGCTCGGGTTACATATCTATGGCTATTGAAGCGAAGCGGCAATTGACTTCTGAGAGGCATGGTCCCCTCGGCATTTCAAACTACAACTTAAAAGACATACAGATCCCCGCGGCTCTGGCGATTCCTGATTCGCCCGCCACAGTCGAGATACAATTGAGCCTCATTACCCCTAGAAATCAACAGAACAACTCAAAGTCGAAGTGGGAAGAATTTAAAGTATTTTCAGTTTCAGCTCAAGGTGCTAGCGTCGAACACTGCCATGGATTCATCATGGCGGAGATTTTGACTGAGCCAGATGAAGTGGACTCTACAAGAGACAGGGATCTTGATTCATTGTCTGAAATAACCCGGTTAAATGAATTGAAATCTGTCTGTGACGATAAATTAGATTGCGCAGAACTTTACCGCGATTTGAGATCAAGGGGGAATAGTTATGGGCCAAATTTCTCCTGCGTCAAGAACCTGAGTCTTAGTGGCACGGATGCCGTTGGGGCTCTGAGCATTCCCGATATGTCTCAGAGCATGCCAGTTCCATTTCAACAACCTCATGTCATACATCCTGCAACTCTTGACGCTTTGATGCATCAAGCGGTAGCAATATTCAACCGCCATACACAGGACACCGTCTTTATGATTGTTGGAATTGATGAGCTCAAGATATCTTCTCGTCTAGCAAGCCAGGCAGGCACCTCCCTGACGTTGGCCACGACAACTACGGGTATTGGGTCAAGATTCGCATCGGCAGATATTTCTGCATTCCAAGACATTTCTGACTGCGGAATGGAGGTTGTCATTCAAATGAAAGCTGCAAAACTTCGTACTACTGGGGATATCAGTAACAATGCGCCGATTGAGACTTGGAAGCGCAACATGAGCTATACCATGAATTGGGATTTGGATGCCGACCATATGACCTCCTCAATGTTTTTACCGGGTCCAGATGCATTCGAAGCTGATCGATCACAGGAACGTAAGCTAGATTTCTTGAATCAAGCAGCAGCAATTTACGTAAGCCGTTGTGTTAAAAAGCTCACAGTCAACGGCCCACCCAGACTTTCGGGACATTTTCGGCATCTTTTCAAGTGGATGAACCGGTGGCAGGAATCCGAAGAATTCAAAGCCTTCCTCCATGACGTAGCAGATATTAATGTGGAGCAAGTCCTTCAAGATACAGAGAAACTTGGAGTAGAGGGAGAGTTGCTATGGCGAGTGGGACGCGAATTAGATGCCATTCTTACAGGAAAATCCGAAGCACTTTCCTTGATGTTGGAAAACGATCTGCTATACCGTCTCTACGCGGATGATGCTTCATCTCGTTGCTACGCTCATGTTATTGCATACATGAAAAAGCTTGTCTTCAAGAACCCAAACATGCGGGTCATTGAATTAGGTGGTGGAACTGGAGGAACCACTGCCCCATTACTTGAAGCTCTCGAATCACATGGCACTTTGCCGTTCAAGGAGTATGTCTTTACTGATGTTTCTCCTGGCTTCTTTGAACGCACGAAGGCTCGTCTTCAAAAATGGGACAGCTATATAAAGTACAAAAGACTGGACTTGAACATTAGTGTCTCGGAACAGGGGTTTGAGAAAGAGGGTTACGATTTAATTATAGCTGCAAATTGTCTCCATGTCGCCTCTTCTATGGATGATGTAATGGCGAGCGTCAGAAATCTTCTTAAACCTGGTGGAAAGATTGTTATGATCGAAATGACCCGTACAGTACCCCTCTATAATACCTTTGTTGGTTTACTAGATGGTTGGTGGGCTGGTATAGAAGACGGACGGACCAATAGTCCAGGTTTATCTGTTGAACAGTGGCACTCAATACTGTTGAGAAACAGCTTCAGTGGTGTGGAGATTGTTGCAAATGATTTCGAAGGAAAAGCTCAACGTTCAGCAATGCTGGTATCCAGAGCAACTGATCGAATCGATATGCCATCGGCACAAGAAAGTGCACCGATAAAACTAATTCTCTGCCCTAGCTGGACAGTTCAACCCCCACAATTTGCTATTGATTTAAGGTCCGAGTTGATTAGGCATGGATTCGAAGTAACTATCGAGGGTCTTCTTGGTACTCAATGTGCTGGGGACGCCATACACATCATCCTCGACAGCGGTTCGGATCCCATTCTGACTACAAATACTCCTGCAGTATTCGAGCATGTCAAGAGTATCTTAGAAAAGGCTACGCTGGTACTTTGGATCAGCTCTCAAAACAACGCTGCAGCAAACATGAACCCGGAAAAGGGTATGATTGCTGGCCTAGCTCGCGTTATTCGAGCGGAAAATGAGTTTCTCCGTCTCGTCACAATCGATGTTCAAGATAGTATCTCCAAATCGTTCGATGGGCTCATCCGAACCATTGAGAAAATTGTCGAAATCGGACTTAGTGGCTCCAGTGGACAAGTAAAGGAACTTGAGTATATATTCAGGAATCAAGAGGTGCTGATACCACGGCTCTTACAGAATTCGAACACCAACAATCGTATACAGCAGGCTAGTGGAACACCAACACTGTCAGCACAGCCATTTCATCAGCCCAATCGACCACTCAAGCTCCATGTACAAAAGTCCGGCTTCTTGGATAGTCTCTCATTTGTGGATGATAAGTCACTGGAAGGGCCATTATTGAATTCACATATAGAAATACGAGTCGAAGCATGCGGACTCAATTTTAAGGATGTCCTCATAGCGCTAGGTCAAATCAACAAGGACTACTCAATGACGGCCGAATTTTCTGGAGTAATCACCAAAGTCGGTTCAGAATACCATGACTCGTTTCATGTTGGTGATCGGGTTTGCGGTATGGGTGGATCGCCTTATGCTAGCACTATTAGACTTGATGGTCGAAGAGCTAGCCACATACCACCGTCAATGTCATTCGAAGTGGCTGCATCTATACCTGTTGTTTTTGCAACAGCCTACCACACTCTCGTAGACATTGCAAACCTTCAACCAAATCAAACTGTTCTGATCCATTCGGCCGCTGGTGGAATAGGCCAAGCGGCTCTAAGAATTTCCCAACACATTGGAGCAGAAGTATTTGTGACTATTGGCAGTGCAGCAAAACGTGACTTACTCATTAACGAGTTTGGAATTGCAGAAAATCACATCTTCTCCAGCAAATCACGAACATTCAGGCAAGGTATCCACCGAATTACCAAGGGGAAAGGGGTCGATGTTATTCTTAATTCTCTTTGCGGGGAGGCACTTCAGGAATCTTGGGCTTCCATCGCAAGATTTGGCGTTTTCATTGAATTGGGTAAAGCCGATGCTCTATCAAACGCAGGTTTAAGTATGGCACCTTTTGAGAGGAATGTTACATTTGCCTCGGTGGATTTGCAGATGATCGCCGACTATCGACCCGCAAAGATAGAAAGTCTTTTGAAAACCGTTCTAAACTTGTTCAAAACCGGATCTTATCTTCCTATCAATCCTATCACTACGATGCCTATTACCAATATTGAAGACACTTTCAGGCTCCTTCAAACACGAAAGCATACAGGCAAAGTTATCTTAAAGGCTAGTTCTGAAACCACGGTAAAAGCACCAACAGTAGCAACCAATGATCTGATCATCTCCGAGGATGGAACGTGCTTAATTGCTGGTGGACTAGGTGGTCTTGGTTTAAAGGTTGCTCGTATGCTTGCTAAGCACGGAGCGAAACACATCGCTCTAATGTCGCGAAGACACTTGTCTTCGTTGAAGTTGGCAGTACTTGAGGAAGAATTCAAACTTTTAGGAACAAAGGTGTTCAATTTGAACTGCGACATTACGGATCTTTCGAAGTTGAGAGAGTCAATCGCACCATTTGGCATTGATATACCACCAATCAAGAGTGTGATACAAGCATCCACAGTCCTTCAAGATCGCGTCTTCACCAAAATGAGTCTCGAAGATTTCAAGCTGGCGACCCAACCCAAGTGTCTTGGGACTAGTAATCTGGTTGAAGCATTCAAAGGTCAGCCTCTCGATTTTTTCCTCATGCTCTCGTCTATTGCGGGTCTGCTAGGCATGATATCTCAAGCCAATTATGCTGCTGGGAACAACTATATGGATACTCTTGCGCAGAATAAGAAGATTTCCGGAGATTCGAGTACCAATTTCGTTTCGATTGATTTCGGGCCCATCGATGATGCTGGCATTGTTGCTGATAGAATCCGAGCTAAGGAGGATATGGTTCGCCGAGGCTTTGTTTTGATTAAACTGAAAGAGGTTTTAGCCTTGATTAACTACGCTATTAGCCATTCGGCAAGAAAGGAGAAAAGTAATCAATTCGTCCTTGGCTTCGATTACAAATCTATCACAGAGTCGGACAACACAGATATCTCAAGAACCCCATGTTCTCTCATCTTCTCCAACATCAAAGTAGCCAGCTTGTAAAGGAGGACAAATCACCCATTCGAAGTATCCAAAGTCTCATCGCAGCGACAAAAGATCCTTCCAAAATCGAGCTCTTTATTTCCAAAGAAATCGCAAGGAAGATGTCCAACCTTGTAGCGATGGATTACGATGAAATCGAAATTCAGCGCCGTATGGCCGATTTTGGATTAGATTCTTTGGTCACCATTGAAATGAAAAATTGGATAACACAAACATTTCAGGCCAAACTTCAGGCTTCAGAGATATCTGATGCGGCGAATATTATGGCGTTGGCTGAAATTGTGACCTCTAGATCAGCACTGGTCACCAAGAATTTACCGAGTAAACCCATTAAAAGCGATGACTCAAGGACTTCGCCCAAACAAAATGAACCCGCGATTGTAAAATCAAAGAAGGAAGCATTGATCACTTTACCAAAACAACCACTACCAGATCTCGACAAGTCTCTAGCCCAGTTTCTAGAGTCTCTCCTCCCAGTGCTCACACCAAAGGAGTACGCGAAATACGAAAGCTACGTAGCCGAATTCCTTAAACCAGAAGGTTTCGGACGAGAACTCCAGGCTCGACTTTCTCAAGTGGCTCATGATCCTAAAGTAGAACATTGGCTCAGCGAATTCTACGCCACCAGTATGTTTTTGAAGGGTCGCCGTCCATTGGTTCCCTGGCTCAACTTTTTCGCTACGCATCTCATGAGTCCAATTCCGCATACGGCTGCGGAGAGGGCTGCTATTATTTCAAATGCGGCGTTTCAATTCAAGAGAAAGCTGGAGAAGGGCGAGGTTGAACATGGATATTACAATGAGCAGCCAGTTAGCAAAGATGGTTATCAGTGGTTCTTTAATGCCACACGTGAGCCGGGAAATCCAAGAGATTCTATGAGAAGGTATCCAGGGAATGACTATCTGGTCGCTTTTCGTAGAGGACATGCTTACAATATTTTTGTTCCTGATGTGGATGAGGCGTCCTCTTATTCGGCACTCAGAGATGCTTTTCAAAGTATTTTGGATGCCGATAAGAAGCCAGAATCGTGGGTTGGAGTCTTGACGCAGGATACACGGGATAGTTGGGCAGATGTGAGTTTGTTCTTCTGTGGTTTTCCTCTTGTACTAACAGTTACCAGATTCGTTCCGAACTCCAAGCTCTAAGTAGCGAGAACAAATCATGGATTCACGATATCGAAGCTTCTGCATTTGTCGTTTCCTTGGATGGCGTCCAACCCCAGAATGCCTCCGAGCGTGGACCACATTTTCTCCACGCCCATGGCTTCAATCGATGGAGCGATAAAACGATCCAATTCTCTATCTGCGACAATGGGGTTTCAGCCGCCATTGGCGAGCACACCATGCTGGATGGAGTGACATTCCTCCGCCTGAATGATTTCGTCACCAAAGCCATCATGACGTTTGACCCCCGAGATCCAGCCAATTTCTGCTCGCAACCATCGTCCGCGATTGAAGTTTCAAAACCCTATACTTTTACAACAACAGCAAAGTTCGAGGAACACATAAAACGCATCCGAGCACAACTCAAAAAAGACACATCACGCGTCGAATTCCGCGCCTTCGAGATCCCCACCCTCAATCGCGAGCTCTTCCGCCAGCACACATGTCCTCCCAATTCCGGATTTCAACTCGCTGTCCAACTAGCTGTTCGTCGCTACTTTGGATACAATCCCGCGGCTTTCGAGCCTATATCCCTCAATCACTTCCACAAAGGTCGAATCGATGTAAACCACATTATGCGTCCGTCCATTTTTAACTTTTGTGCTGCAGCTGCGGATATGAAAATTCCCACTAGCGAATTGCGGGCCTTGTTTTTGGATGCGGCACGTGTGCATGCTAGTAATGTTATATCAACATCGCGAGGCCATGGTTTCGATAGACATCTCTTTGCGCTTGAATGGTCTGTTCGAGATGGCGAGACGATTCCGGAATTATTTACAGATCCAACGTATAAGAGTAAAAGACGACCGCCTCAGATTATGACTAATTGTATTGTGGGCGAGGCGCTGGAGGGAGGTGACTTTTTTGATCATCCGAATGGAGCGTCGATTACTTATGAGACGAAGGATGAATTGTAAGTTCATCTCCTTTTGTTGTTTGGTTTTTTGAAATATAGATATTGACTTTTCTTCTTCAATATAGTACGAAGATTTCTATGTGGGGACCGATTGGACGAGTTGATAGATTTATAGAAGTTTTGGAAGGGTGTTGTATGGATATTAGAGCTATCATTGAACTTGAAGCTTAACCTCTTTTTTTGTATTAAAGAATTATATAATTTGGAACAGAGTTGCTCAAGACATCAAATCTGTCATTGAACTTAGAGCTTAACATTCCTTTTTGTATATAGGTATCGATAGGTCAAGGGACGTTATAGTAACGATACATTCACCTTATATTTATTGGCATACTCCAAAAGCTTCACATTGGCTGGAAAAATTCAGTCATTAGTTCTCATTCCTTCCGTTGAGGTTGCGTAGCAGGCCCTCGTTCTTCAAAGTAACTTGAAACATACTTTAGTCCTCACCTATGCCATGATTAGATGAATACTCATAGACAAAAGATGATAATATTGACAAGCGAGCAAGAAATCTCAAAGTGCCAAATCTTTGAACATAAAAGAAACCCAACATATAAAAGGAGCTCTCGCGATATGACCCACAGATCAAAAGGCAATTGCTTTTGAGAGAAAATATGCACTAGCCATTGTTTCTCGACTCCCTACATCAACACATTGTACTGCCGCGGAATGTCTTCCGTTTCCAGACCAAGTCTACTTGACTGATTGAGGTTGCGAAATAGAAGGAAATAAAATCATCAGAGGATGGGGCAAACTAGAAGGTAGCTTGTGACAGTGACAATTAGCTGCACTGGGTGGATGCGGGTAAGATGCTGCGCGAAAAGTTTAGGATTGTAGTTATGTCACAATACCCATAAAGTCAAAAGGCAAATCTCGAAATCCATCATTGAAACCATATCTTCAATATTCCACAATAGCTCGGTTCAACCCAGACGCATCTCTGGAATCTACTGGCTATGCTAGCGCACTCGAAGCTCAAATAAAAAAAAATGCAAAGGGTATCAAAATTCCTTCCAAATATATGTGCAAAATTCTCAACATATGTAATGTTAAATGCAAGTTTTTCCTTCCCAATTGTGTTCAGCGAAAATCTCCTTCGACCACATTAAATAATGTTTGAATCACATATTGTGTATAGTACAGCCAATGCAGGCGCAATCATCCCCACAGGGACAAGTATCTTTCTCACCTGGACAAGGAATATCTGGAACTCGATGAATGGTGCAGCCTAAGCATTGGCAATCATCACCGCACGGGCAACTTTGAGTATCCCCTCCACACCCATCCTCTGCGGAAAAAGGATAATTTACGAAAAAGAAATCCGAGGCCGAAAGGCTTTGTTCTTCTGCCGTTCCCGAAGTAGTACTCGAGGGAGTCGCAGGAGGTGGAGATGTAGGATTTTCTTTGATCACATCTTGTGTCTGTGTTGAAGTGGGTGCAACATTTCCATTCCCATTCACGCGCCCATTCGTGTGACCGTTATTGTACAAGTCAGGTTCGAGTTGCATCGATTCCCAAGCCGAAAGTACATATTGTCTTGTGGCATCATTGTATGGATGAGCTGCACATCCAACACATTGGCAACCATCACCACAACCACAAGTATGGACTGTTTCGAGATTCCGAGACAGTGGTGTGTTTGAACCGAAAGCCAGAGGTGCGGTAGAGATAGATGGCTGTCCTTGAATATGACCATAACTCATATCACGCACACCTTGGCGCCACGCAGATGGCTGCAGAGGATTTTGGTATGAACCATATGTAGCAGGATATGTGAATACAGTAGGCGGATACTGTGAATACATGGCATTATTCATTGAAAATCCATTTTGTGGTATTTGTGGCTGCATCAAGGGTGTATTCGTTTCGGAACTCTGAGTCATTGAAGGCTTGTTCTTTGAAGAACAGCAACTTTTAGATTTAGGTGTAGGTTGCGGAGGTTCCGACATCGTACTGGCATTCGACGAAGTGTGAATATGGGTATTTTGTTTAGGGGCACAACACGAACCACTGTTCGCGGCAATGTTATCGATACGAGGCGGGCTTTCCGGGGTAGATGGCGCACAGCAAGAACCACCATTCATCTTTGGAGTAATTTGCCCATTCTTGATTTCAGTTGGCGTTTCGAGAGGGCTCTCCACAACCTGATCTAAAATGCTATGCCCATTCGCATATCCATTTGTTCTTATGTCCGATATTGGTCCTCCTAGACTATGCAGAGGTGGAGGTAGTTGAAAAGAAATGTTGTCATATTGTGGTTGCATGATTGGATATTGTGATGGACCAAATCCGTACGGTTGAGAAGGAGTCGACACATGATATGCGTTGGGTGGAATGATTTGCATTCTTTGGGGATGCTGATCGAAAGGAACTATATTGACTTGATTCAAATCCATTCGGTCCAAGTTTACGGGATCGAAGGATTGTTTCCTATTCGACTGCGATCTTGACGCTGTCTTTTGGATTTTGAATGTAAGCTGCGTAGGAGAAGTCGGATCGGGTATGGAAGTTCCTCGTTGTAGAGGGGCAGGAGGGGTCGATACAGGTGTATCGGTACCACAATGGCATGCTTGTTTCCTTGGAATAGCAGCCGTGACACTTCCACAGTTACATGGTTGATCTTTTGGATGTGGACATGCACTGAGCGGTCTTCCGGGTTTCCTCACTGGGACCATCAGTCTCTCGTTCGCGTGTGTACATTTCGTTGATCGATGGCCTCTGATACATGGCTCACTGTAGCAAATATATGTCAGTATATGCAGCAAGTACAACTGATTATTGGTAAAGTATAAGTTCTTTTTCTTGTGAACCACTCAGGCGCACTTGCCCATGTTTTCTACCGATCATGATCACGCTAAAGATGAGACATACCAGGCCATTTTTAATCCATTAATCAACGGCATCTTTCAAACAATCAGAAATCCCTCGAGTAGATGCAGAATTAGGTCGCTGACCCAAACCGAAAGATTTGAAGCGCAGATGAATTCTTTCCCAAGTGAGGATTCAATATCTGCATGTGCGACCACAATGGAGGGGAAAATCAGAAGGATGATCAGGGTCTGACTTGTACGACTTGACTTCTACAACACGTACGGAATGGTTCCTGCGTGTTTCCGAGCAAGATCTAGTCCAAGGTATACTTCGCAGAGGTGGAGACAACTCAATCAACCTTGAAAAGGAATAAATTGATAAATGATAGATATATCAATCATGAGAAAGAATCAAGCCAGTGATGGAGAAAAGCTGAATTGAGCTGATTATTATTTAGGGCGTACCGGTAAGTAGTAGTAGATAGTAGGACAAATTGGATATTCCCGGACCAAAGTAATAAAGGTGTTTGAAGCGATCCGAGCTGAAGGGGGGTTTAACAAGGTAAGAAGATATCATTAAAAGCCTTGTTTGTCCGTTTGTTCCTTTGGTTCTTATTGAGGATTTGTTTGTTCTCTAAATCTTGACAATTCCAGTAAAGGAGTTTCCCAAAGATGATTTGAATGAAAAGAATTTGAGTCACTCATGGTAAGGAGGTATAATAATTAATTGGATGGGATGGTAAGGTAAGGTTAGTACCTACCTACTAGTAGGTATGGGTGAGTGAGTGAAAGATCTGAATATGGGTTATGGATTGATAGTGGGGTGATGGATGGGGTTGGTGGTTGGTGAGTGGGTGGGTGGTGTGGGAATTTTGGTGTGGAATTGAAAGTAACTCGATTATTATTCTGGAAGAACCTGGTTGAGAATGAGCAAGTTTCAATTGGTTTACATACTAGGTAGGTACGACCGAGCCTTTTTGACAAGGCTGCGCTAGTATATTTAAAGAATTGATTAGTCAGCACTTTACACTATATCTAGCCCGAGCCCAAGCCCAGATCGATGGGTAGATAGATCAATCAGCTCGGGACATTTTTCCAGGCACTTATCTTATCTTAAGAATCTTATCAATCCCAGCATATCTATTGGATGGCTGAAGATAGCTATTTTAATGTAAAATGCTATATAAAATCTGGTATAAATCCTTTCCCCAGAGATCTAGAGATTTACAAAATATCCTCTATCCTCTCACATTTGTCTTCTTTACTCGATCGAACTAATCTCGTTTCATCTTCGAAGTTTCCCAAATTCGTAGTAGCACGTTATTCATCATGACGGATTTAGATTTCGAAGATGGTCCAGATCTATTTGCTGAGCCAGCTGATTATTATCCTCCATCGCCGAAACCAACTACAGAAACCCATACACTTCTTTCCGCCCATACACTTACTCTACATCTCGTCGGCCATAATCAACTCTGGGGACATCACCTTTGGAACGCCGGTCGCATAATATCGAATTATTTGGAAAAGAACCCGTCTTTAATATCTTCGAAAACCATCTTGGAGCTTGGTGCAGGCGCTGGTCTTCCAAGTCTCACTTGTGCTTCTCTACGTGCCAAGAGTGTCGTCGTCACAGATTATCCAGATGTGGAGCTCATTGATAACCTCAAAAAGAACATTTCGGTTTTCTATGAGCAGTTTCCCGAGCTGAAGGTAGATGATGGGGAAACCTTGGTAGCTGAAGGTTACTGTTGGGGTGCCGATCCATCTCCATTGCTCTCACTCTTGCCCTTAGAAGATAAAGAAGCTGGGTTTGATGTGCTAATCCTCGCGGATCTCCTCTTCAATCATTCCGAGCACGCGAAATTATTGGACTCGATGAAGAAAACTCTTAAGAAGGGCAAGGACTCTACGGCGTTGATATTCTTCACCCCGTATCGACCTTGGCTATTGGAGAAAGATATGGCATTCTTTGATTTGGTACGGGAGGGAGGAATGACTGTAGAAAAGGTCTTGGAGGAGAAAATGGAGAAAGTGATGTTTGACAAGGATAGGGGAGATGAAGAACTGAGGAGGACAGTCTTTGGTTTCGTTATCAAATGGGCCGAGGAAGATAGTAGTTGATGATCATCATGATTTCTACTGACTCTTGAGGATAAAAGAAACAACTTTGTCGAGGGAGGACGAAGCTTTTTAGTGCACAGTCTAGTCGTGACCTCGAGAATTGTATGGCTCGTATCCACCAAAGCTGATGTCGATGGTTGTCTGAAGTATTCCAATCTCCGGGTTACTGCAAAGGCTATGGTACCGGTCATTGACATTATCCGCCGTGTACCTATAATCAGGTAGGGCGCAAAATACCTTGACTATGATATCACTATGAGTTGAGCCATGGAACCTTTGTATTTGCGCCGAAATCAAATATATCTACCTGAAATCCTCGTCGTTTCAATTTGACTTTTGTTTTCATCGCACTCATCGATTTCACGAATACAATCACCAGGATATTTACCAAGGCCTGCAACTAACATTAGATCAAAACTCCTATTTATAGTTTTCTGTCTAATACAAAAACATCAACTAAAATTTGTATAATATATTTATAATAAATCTTGTTAAAAGAATTATATTATATATCATTATAATAACTATTTCAATAATATATCTTCAATTCAATAATAATAATAACAGCAATAATAATAATTATGTATTTAAAATGAATTTCATAATTGCTTTTTCTATTAGCTCTAGAAATTTTTTTAATATAGAACTATTAACTAATATAATTTTGAATTTTATTGAAATCATAAATTTATAAATAATAATTCCTTTTTTTTATTAATTTATTTATCCTT